GGTGTGGGGTTTCCTTTTGTTCTACTGATAATTTCCACTTTAAAAAATTTTTTTATGTATTCCCATTGTTTATATTCACTTTCATTTCTTTTGCCTTTAGAGATAAACTATCCTCAAAGATGTCATTGAAGCCAGTGTTTTACATATGTTTTTTTTTTTTTCAGTATCTTTTATGGTTTTGGGTTTTACGTCCATGTATTTAATCCATTTTGAGTTTTTTTTTTTAAATTAACTCTTGTGTAAGATGGTACTCTAATTTCATCCTTTTGTATATGGTTGTCCAGTTTTCCCAACACTTTTGAAAACCTGTTCCTTTTTCCATAACTTCCCATAGTTTGTAAATTTATTTCTATCCCATTTACCTATATTTTCACTGTAGTGTTTTGTTTATAATAGCATTCTAGTACAGTTTGAAGTCTAGGATTGTGGGCACTGTTTGTTATGATTGCTTTGGCCGTTCAGAGTCTTTTGTGGTTCCATATGAATTTCAGTAATATTTATTCTGTTTATTTGAAGAATGCCATTGGGACTTTGATAGGGATTGCGTTGTATCCGTATATTGCTTTGGGTGAGGTTGCCATTTTAACAATCTTAATTCTTCTAGTCCATGAAAGAAAATATCTTGACATTTTTTGTGTCTTCTATTTTTTTTAACAGTGTCTTATAGTTTTTATTGTTAGAACATTTACCTCCTTTAATTTTATTCCTGGGTATTAAAATCTTTTTGATATGATTGTAGATGGAATTTTTTCCCCTGTTCTAGCTCATTTGTATATAGAAATGCAACTGATATGTATAATTGATTTTGTACCCTCCCAATTTATTGATCAGTTATTTCAATTGGTTTTTTAGTGAAGTTCCAAGGATTTTTTATATATATTATTATGGCATCAGCAGATTGTCATAGTTTTATTATTTCTTTATCAATTTGGGTTCCTTTTTATCTTTCTCTTGACTGATTGCTCTAGCCTACAACTTCTAATACTGTGATGAACAGAAGTGGTGAAAGTGGACCAAGTCTTTCACCATAGCCTATAATGTTAGCTGTGGGTTTGTTATATATGGTTTTTATTATTTTGAGGTATATTCCACCCTTCCTAAGTTTGTTGAGGGTTCTCTTTTTTTAGGGTCTTTTGTGGTTCCCTATGAATCCATATGAATTTCAGTAATAATTTCTATTTATTTATTCATAAGTGGATGTTGCATCTTATAAAATGCTTTCTCTGCATTTATTGATATAGGATTTTTCTTGCATTTTGTTGATGTGAATTATATCAATTAAATTTTCAGATATTGAACATCCCTGTGTTCTTGGAATAAATCCCAGTTGATCATGATGTGTGATCCCTTTTATATATTGTTGATTATTATTTACTAAGATTTTGTTGAGGATTTATTTTGTTGAGGGTTTTTGTGGTAATCTTTGTGAAGTTTTAGTACCAAAATGATTCTGGCCTCATGGAGTATGTTTGGAAGCATTCCCTCTTTCTCTATATTTTAGAAGAGTTTGAGAAGGATAGGGTTTTTTTTTTTTTGAAGACAGAATACATTAGTAAAATCATCTTGGCCTGGGTTTTTGCTTTTTGGGAAAATGATTTTTGTTTCAATTTCCTTTCTTGATTGATCTTTTCAGGTTTCTCTTTCTTCTTCACTAAGTCGCACAGGATTATCATAACTTCCTAACTTTTGAGATAGAATATGCACAGTCCTTACTTCCCACCTCACTACATTTTTCTCATTTGTGAATCTTAACCTTTCTGAAAGCTTTATTAGTGTCTTTATTGCTTTTCTTGTTTTCGTTCACAGAGTACACCAGATTGATAGCCTGTTGTTTTAATACCATATATAAAATGAAAACTGTACTAAAATAATACAAGTATAGACTGTGTAGAATTTTCCTTAATTCATTGAGCTAATAGAAGCAAGTCCTGATGTGGAAGATGTGTAGGGTGTATTGTGTATTGTAGATATGCATTTGGCTTTTTTTTTTTTTTTAAAAGATTTATTTATTTACTCATGCAGAACTGGGGTACAGGCCAGAGATGTGGAGGGTGAGAGGATTCACCAGAGACAGAGTAGGGAGCAGAACAGGCAGATCGACGAAGTACACTGCTGAGGGGAACAGCGGGCCGGTCAGGAGAGGTCTGCCGGGCCATGTGGATCTCCTCCCGGGCAGACGGGAATCGAACTCATGCAGAAGTGGCTTAAGTTTCTTAGTGCAGTGCTTCAACCCGCTGCGCCACCAGGGAGGGCCATTTGGCTTTTTTTTTTTAACCTTTATTTAATTTATGTTTTTTAAAGATTTATTTATTTGTGCATACAGAACTGGGATACAGGCCAGAGGCTGAGGGGTGGTGAGAGGCTTCACCAGAGACAGAGCAGGGAACAGAACAGGCAGATTGATTGATGAAGTACACTGCTGAGGAGCAGCAGACGGGTCAGGAGAGGTCTGCCGCGCCATGTGGTCACCTCCGGGGCAGGCGGGAATCGAACTCATGCGGGAGCAGCTTTAGATTCTCAGTGCTGTGCTTTAACCCGCTGCACCATCAGGGAGGGCCATTTTGACCTTTAGTATAGATCAAGTCACAGCAGTCTAAAATGTCTTGAGATATCAAGTGCCCTGTGCTGAATTGTCCCTTGCCAGCACTTAATAAAGCATTTAAACTCAATTGAATGATTGTGTTACTACCACAGAAGTAAAGAGCTAAATAATTATCTGAATGTCTCTCTTAAACCTATTACAATAATGATATGGTCTCTTGAAGTCTTCTTTACACAATGACATTATTAGAAAGCTGATATTCTTATAATTAAAAAAAAGGTTTTTAAAAAGGCAGAGTTTTCTAAAATATGATCTGGAAAGTTTATACTTGATTTGTTGTTTGTGGTTTCTTAATCTCTTGAGTATTTGTGATTTTTCCCCCTACATTACATATATAATTCATTTATAACTAGTGTGCTAAATGTTCATTATTTGCATTTTATACTAATTATTATAATTATGCTAGTTAACCACACTGCCTACGACAAGTGTCTTTTCTCCTCTGTGGCTGTATTGGTTGCAGTTTCCTTTGTTTAAGGTGGTGGTTGTCAGGAATAGGCAAGGAACTTAGTGTGCTTTGTAGATTGTGGTGACATATAGTCACCCTTGGCTGTTTACGTCAGTATAGTATCCACTGTAAGTTGCTTTGCTGATGGAAATGATCTCTGCCTTTTGTTCCCAAACTGAAGCCACTAGGCATGTGAAACTCTTGAGCACTTCAAAGGTGATATGTGAATCTGAGAAACTGAATTTTTCATTTTTTTTAACCAGGTTTACATAGCCATAAGTGACTGGTAACTGCCATGGTTGACAACACAGTTACAGGTGTTCAGCTTTAATCAGCATCATTTATTCTTGTAGGTCATACATGGTTTTTGCATATGAGATTTTACAAATACTAGCCTTTGTTCACTCTGTAGAGTAATTTTCATTGTATTTCAATAAACCGGGAAAAAAAGAAGGAAATTTACTTCAAGTATCAAGTTTGATTTGGAACTCAAATTTCAAAGCCTAATTCGTTGTTGCTTGGCTTTGGAATGACTGTAGTGTGTGAGCTGAGAAGAAACAAGCAGTACAAATAAGTATCCTATGATTTGTGACTTACACTTTTTACTGGCAGAAGGTTGCCAAGTGGATGAAATAATTTATGCCTGCCAGATCTTTAATTAAAGAAAATGTCTGAACATAGAGAAGTTCAAGCCTCCTGAGGGTAGTCCATAAATTCCTAGTCTTAGTGTACTAAATACACTAAAGAATGTTAACTGGATCAGCCTGCACAGGGGATAGGTGTGTAAATGTTAAAAAGAATACTTTGTGTATAAAAATCAGCATTCTTCAGGTTGATGGGCATTGTTTTAGCTAAGCAGAATAATGATTTTTAGGATCAGTAATACTTGTCAAGAAGGTTTGTAACAGAACTAAAATCCAAATAGAACATTCTTACTTTTGTGATCCATTTCATACTTGCTAAAAATTAAAAGTAAAAAAGGAATTCTCATGTATTTGGAAAGAATGTTTCTGCATTAACTTGTCTTTCTGTATAACATTAGAATACCCTTTTCAAAGTTAAAGTGTAACTGGGACCCTGCTGCGGAATCTTATTTCTTTAGGAAATTTCTTAAGGAAAGAAATAATTCCTAAAATAAATCAGATCTCAAGGAAAAAACTGAGTCAAATGGATGGATGTCATTTTAGAATCCCAAAGCAGTCATTTTCTATGGTCGCATGTAAACGTGTGTGATTGTATTAAGCCATTTTGTGACTTCTTCATTGCTGTGTATTTGGTTTAGTTTGAAATTTATTGCTTTTGGATTAAGGTATGACTTTCTATTTTTGCCATCTTGCTGATATTTGCTTCCTAATCTTGAAGGAATCAGGTTTGGGGGCATAGAATTGAATCAAGTTTAATGGCAGCAAAGTACCTCACTATTAGGATATATTGATGCTCTCTTAACCTGAACATTTGAAAACTAATTGTGTGACCTAGTTATCAGTAGTTTCATTTAATGCTGCCAGCTTTGTGGCGCAGGGTAGTGTGAGATGAACTTACAGTTTTACTACACCTGAGCACCAAAAATGAAGTACCCTCATTGACTTTTATACTGTCCTCATGACAGTGAGAAACCTGATTCTGGACCTATTCCCTTTAGTAGAAACTAACCAATACTGTGCTTTAAGGCTGTCATAATTAACGGGGGAATGAAGGAAACAAGGGACTAAATAAACAAGACTTAGAAAAAGACTTAAAGCAAGAGACCTTAAAATAGGAAATTGTGTTTGAGAGAAGTTGGTGAGGTAAGATGGTAGATTGAAAACATTTTTTAGGGAAACGTATCCTTTAAGTAAACGATGCATTTGTGTACTCCCTCCGAGGGTGGGGATTCAAGGGAGAGAGGCTCAGCTGCTGTTTACACCTCTGACCTGGGCTCCTATTTGACCTGAGTCTGTCTTGATGCAGCAGCACAGGCCAGCGAGGAGGCGGTGTCATTTCGCCGGGAACGCAGCACTTTTAGGCGCCAGGCAGTGCGGCGCCGGCACAATGCAGGGAGTAACCCTACCCCTCCTCCATTGCTCGTCGGATCACCCCCAAGGTACGGTATTTCAAAATTCCACCAAGCTTAGCATGCATGTAACAGACCTCCTGACCTGCTCTGTCAGTCCCCAGAAGTTTTGAGAGCTTTGTTTTCTTTTTCTCTCCTATACCTGTAAGCTCTTCAGCCTCTCACTGCATGTGGTCACCAGCCTCTTTGCGTTGTGCATGCCTTGTGTTGCACCGTTTAAACAAACGGCCAGATTGATGGAGTCACTTTTAAGTCGATCACTTTAGGGTACTTACAGAAATAAAAATTAAACCTTCAGGCATCCTTTTTTGAATTTTTTTTCTACTTCAAGTTAATGACATTACTGCAACATTTCCCCTGACATCTTGACAGAGTTTAATAGGAACAAATATGGACTGAGTAATGCTCATAATAAGGAATAACACATAACTGACCTCAACTTGATAAGCCAGTTTACTTTATTTCACTAAAATACATCTTATTTCATATTGTTTAAAATGTGGTGTTTTTATTTCCTACTCTGGATCTAGTAAATGACAGAGAACTAAAATATTTATTGTAAAGATGGTCCATTAGCTATATACATGTACATTTACATATATGTGATGATTTTTCTCAACCTTTATATTTATGTATACGTGTGTATATATATGTCGAGGAGAAACACTTAATTTTCTCCCAGTATTCCTAACTAAGAAAACACTTATAATATTGGAAGTAAATTTCCATTCAGGTTTTAGTAAATGTTTTATTGTCAATGTGTCCAATCTAAGGAGTCCGTGTTGAATTTAAAAAAATTTGTGTTTTAATTTATTTTTGGAACTTAAATACTTTTTATGCTCTTGCTTTAAGCAGCGCATATACATTTAGGCACCATTATTCATATTATTTTCCTACCACATTTTAATTTGAAATTCAAAAAGAACATGATGAAATAACTGTTGATGATTGAATTCATGGCAGGTTGAAAGACAAAACCCCTACTTATGAAAATCTTGTTTTTGAGTGTAGCATAGTCCTTTTTTTTTTTTTAAATATTGCTTTATTTATATCCCTCTGGGGTTTAAGGAGACTTTTTCTGGATTTTACATTACAATAAGGAACTTCATTTTTCTGAGGTCCTTATGGCAGTACATATTGCCGTGAAATATAATATGGATTAGTTAAACCATTTAAAATATAAGAAAAGGAAAAGCAGCAATTAAAAGAAGCAATTGGTGTAAAAACTGTTGCTGAGTACCTTTGCTTTTCATTACCCCTCTTCCTGTTTCCTTTCTACTTCTTTTCCTTTGCTTTCTGAAGTAACTTTTCTTTCTGCTAAAAGTTTTAGCTGAAAGTTCCCAACTGCAGAGAGCTGAACAGTTCATTTTACTTTTTGTTTTCTGTTTTCTAAACTTTGTGCTCCTTGAGTAACACCTGGCAAGATACCTTCTTTGCTCTCCTGCTCTGAAAATCCTTTCATTCCTGCCACAGATGAGCCTCTGGAGCCCACTCATCAAAAACTGCACACAAATTAGCTTTTTTCCCCTGCCTGGTGGAATGTTAAAGAATTGTGTTCTACTCCCTCCAAACAAATAGAATTTCTCCTTGTGTTTTTAGGGTTTTAAATATATCACAATTCAAACGAGGATATGGTGTGAAACTTATTTGTAAAAGCTCACATTAGAATTTTTGGAAAGTATCAGCATGTTGGTTTTGTTGAGGTTCCAGGATATTTGCAACCAAGGCTGCTTGTCTTAAAATAATCTGACATCATCATGGATGAAATAAGATAATACTGTGAGTAATTAGGAGAAACACCAATTTAATAAAATAATCTTCTGTAATTGCAAAATTATTATATTGGTAAAGTATATTGGTATTAGTTCTGTGTGATTGCATCATAATTTCATCTTTTAGTAAAGGATAGCATGGTCACACAAAATTTGAAAACTTGTTTGTCAAAAAGAAATGGAGTAGATGTGATACTTTAATTACAGTAATATATAAATCTAATAGAATATGCTAACTTCTTTAAACTTTAATAATGAATAGTTCTAAAAAGCAACTTAGTAAACTATGTCTCCCAAGGATTGAGAGTGAGTCATCAAGTGTTTTATACTTCTAGAAATAATTGAATAATTTTTAAAGTCTTTTTTTTTTCATTTCATTAAGTTAACTTTGTGGATAAGTTTTGTAGGCCCTTCCTTGCTAATTTTTCAGTTACTGGGGCTAAAACAAAGACAGATATTTAAAAATTACTTAATACTAATATTAAGAATTCTAGGTTTATATTTGTCAACCTTAATGTGTAATCCACCAAATGGATTGTAATGAGTAGGTATCACCAGTGAATTCTGGTGAAGAGTAAAAAATAAACTCTGGGGAAGGGTAAAAAGCTTTAGTGTATTCTTAGATTTATTGTTTAAAATAATATGATTGAAAGTTCTGGATTTAAAGAGGGTCATAGTAATACATAAAAATAATCAAATTCATAGAGGTCATTTTGATGTGCTCAGGAATTAATCCATCTGATATTTCTTGTTTGTATATTGTGCACAAGACACTTTCCTGAGAATATTCTCTGAACTCTAGAGATTCATAGGAATAATATGATCTTATTCTTAGAGTTTATTTTTTAGTTAGAAGACACACACAAAGATAAAACTACAAAGTAGGATGTGATAGATGCTAAGTGGTGATACAGAGGAAATAAACCGTAAGATCACCTTTATTTTTCTCATTTAAAATAGAAATGTGAATTATCAATAATTAGTATGATTGCATATTACATAGTTGGTATTATGATGCTGTTGATATTATAGACCTAAATTTCTACCTTTTGTTTTGCTGTGTTTTAAAATAGTTGGTAACCTTTTCTCAAACTGATAGGTTTGATATTTCCTTGGCAAGTTATGTAAAGTACAACCCCCAAGAATAGTTTTCATAACAGTTTCTGTAAAGATTATAGGCTTTGTTGTTGCTGTTGAAGGATTTTGAACAAGAGTTCGAACAAGAATTTGAACAAGGCATTTTGTGACTTGCTTTTGCTATTCAAAAAGTTGTCATTTCCAACCACAATAATTTGGTCTAGTTTCTTCTGTTTCTATATTCTGGAGTTGATTTTCATGCATTGCCTAGTATTTTGAAAATCCTTTTTATTTAGATAATGTGAAGATTAGTGGAGACTCAGATATGTTCATTAAAGTACATCTGTCATGTTGCATCCTTGTTTATGACTTTAAGTAAAAAAGTGATAAAATCTTGTTAAGCACAAGTTCTGTGAATTTCTGCTGTCTTCTGAATCTGAAGGGACATAGAACATTTTCACCTCAGAATTGTCTTCCTTGTGCTACTTAGTCTCTTTGGTAAAATTTATGGATGTTTAAATAGCTTCTGAGGAAGAGGGATAGACTTTCAGAATATAAATTTGATTATATCAGTTCCCAATGTCATCCCTGGATTTATGTCAGATTTGTACAGATTCTACTCCATAGAAGCTGCTGAGTGAATACTGTAATATTTACGGCTTTGAGAAATGCCAGCAAACATTTACAAGTCAACATTTTACAGACGTGGTTTTTTATTGTTGTGTACATTTTTATGCTTCACTCAGATTGTAAACCTTTTATTGGCTCTAAGAGAGGCTTGGCAAATGAATATTCCAGGTAGTGGTGACTAACAGAACATCTGTTTTATTCTATAATCGGCACTGTCCCAGTATGATAGACACTAGTAGCTTTTCCACACTCTTTGTTGGTAGTTTTAACTTTTGTTATATGGCTGTTGAGCACTTGAAATGTGGCTAGTGGAACTGAGGAACTAAAATTTTAGTTACTTTAAGGAGTCATGGGTGAATACTGTATCAGACAGTGTAGTTCCAGAGTGTTCTGTTCCCATAACCACAGACATAAGCAACATATATATTATTTTCTACTTAGTTTCTTACTTCCTGGTTAAAAAAGAGCTTCAAATTACAGCTCTCTTCACCAGTCTGAGCAGATGAATTTGCTGACATCAGATCAGAGAAACCATTGCATTGAATTTAAAGAATTAGAATTAGAATTAGAAGAATTATCATATAAATGATAAAAGACACAGAAGGAAGCCATCCTAAGTAGCATTCTTTTTAATTCCTTAAAGTGTGTAATTTAAGAACAGACTGTAGTTTGTTCAAAGTAAGCTTAAATCAACAGAATGCAGAGTTGTATTAAGCATATGCAAAGAATAAAATATAGGGATTATACTTAAAATGGTTTCATTGGTTTAAATTTTAGTGTTGTACTAAGATTGTTAAAATTCAGTGCTTTAAACTGTATAAAACAGATTAATATAATTTGCTAATTTTAGATAATTTTAAAATAATTTAGATGCTATTGATTATTGTAATAAAAATATATATATAATCACAAAATACCAATTTTTTTTAAATTTTGGCATTTAGAAAAGACTAATATACCTTGACGGTTACTGGTTTCTAAATTATTTTTAAGATTTTGTAGAATGATAGATCTTTATTAATGAAACTGATATGGATTGGAAAAAGTGATAACAAAATTAAATTGCTAACTAACACTTGTACATAAAGCCTGTGACCTTATTTCAGATATATAGAGACTTCTCATAGAAAAACATTTTGTATATTAACTATGCTTCCAGCATTCTAGTGGTCATTTGCATTTCACTTGGTTATTTTGGTTCAATAGTTTGTGATTCTTTTGGTTCAAAATTGTTATTTTGGTTACATTTCACAAAGAATCTTTGCTTTTCATGTATGTAGAAATTTTTTCTTCTATATTCTGATTTTTGCAGTGCCAGTATATTTGCAAGAATACTTCTAAAATACAGGTTATAGGTGTTTGTTAGATTTAATTGAAAGATAGGATTTATTTGCTGAGGAGCAACTACAACCCAAATACATTTAATATACTTGTGATTCTTTTGCTTTCTTTTTCCTTGTACTAGAACTTTGTTAATGTGAGGTGCGATAAAAGTCAGTTTGATTCATTTACATATGTACTGAATATTTACTGTGTCCATACTGATTCATATGAATCACATTTCTGAGGACCAGATGATTTAAGTTGGCAGTATATCCTGTATATTTTACATTTGTTGGCTCTTTCTTAGGTTACATTGAAAAAATTTTTTTAAAATTGATTTTCTGCATTAACTTCATTCTAGCTATTGTTTTCTCTTTTCTTCCCTGTAATGTCTCCCCAATCCATGTTTTCTCCTAGCCTTCAAGATGGTCAGCAAGGCCAGCAGTCCACAGCCCAGGTCAAAGTCCAGTCCCGTCCCCCTTCCCAGACTGCAGTGCTCAGTGCTAGTGCCTCCTTGCTGGTGAGAAATGGGAGTGTCCACTTAGAAGCACCTCATGACACTGCATCTGCTGTAGGCGGCAGCAGTTTGCACGATGAACTTGGTATGCAGGCCTTCTGTAATTTTGGTGATATGAAACTTTAATGCAGCAAATAATGGGTAACAGTGAAAGCAATTCTTTCTTGAGATAGTTTCATCTTGGAACTATGGCAAGAACACATTTTATGGGGTTGGTCCTGTGTGTAAGGAAAATTTTGCCTTTGTCTTCTGTTCTTTCTATTCTTGCTTTCATTTTCCTTGAGCATGTATATTTTTAATAGGTAGCTAAAAATATTAATAAATGTTCTTGCTTCTCTTATAAGGATTTGGGCAGGGCTTTTCTTGGCATTTGTACCATGTGGAAAGATAGTGATTTTTAAAAAAATACTTTGCTTAAACCTTTGTTTTTTTGAATTCTCTAAATGTGCTATAAGAAAGGCAAAATGCTATCTAGCAGTCTATTACTATGTCATCTTTTGCGTATTCTGTGTCCCTTCAATGTCCATCTAAATATAGTACTCTGAGGACAACATAATTGTGTACTAACTAATATCAAATAAAAACTGTAAATTTTTGTTACTATTTCTATCAACATAAGTTATTAATTCATTCTTAATTCTAACCACATTAATGCATAGCTTCTTTAATCAGTTTTGTGTCTTGAAGACAGTTTAGTACTTTAGTTTATTTCTCTGTACGTTTCAGATTTCTTATGTTCAGAAACAGATTAAAAGCAATTTAAGTAAATATAGTGGAGAGGAAAATTTGATTATTCACAAGTACTTATTTGAAAATATATTTTCTCATCATGATTTGTCCATATAATGTCCATATTATAACTGTGCCTCATTTATAAATATGATAGCTTAATTGAAGCTTTGACTAGACACTTGTGGTATAAAGTGTCCACATGAAGCATAGTAAAATTTCATATGCTGCTTATTAGTTAGTTCTTCCCAGTTAAGTGAAAATTCTTGGAGAGATGTTAATAAATATTAGATGTGCATATTGATGTAAAACCATCTTTTAACAATCATTTAGAAACTTTACACTGGTCACTTAAGATACACATAACGTTAAAATGCATAGTGATTTCTAAATAAAGTGAGGAGGCAATAAAACATCTTAATATTAGAATGCTTTTGAATTTGTATTGTGAAAAGGGAGGAGCTAATATGGAGAGTGCTTGAGAGAGTAAAGTGAATTTAGTTACTTGTTTGACTTGAAGCTATGATGCTTTTTTTAGTTGCTAGTTTTTTCAGTTAATGTTTTTATATTTCTCTTGGGCTACCCAAAGTTCAGAGGACTTGTCAGTTTATACATATAAAATTACAGTCACTATCACCATTGGCCATTGGGTTTATGATAGCAAATTAGCTAAAATTAAAGACTATTTTGACCTAGTTTTGAGTTTTTAGACTTTTGTCAAATCAAGCACATGATTTTCCTATATGAAAACTCTTGATTTGCTAAAAAAACATAAAACCTTGCTAATCAAATTTAACTATAAAACCTGATTTTGTTTTTTATTTATTTTTAAAGATTTATTTATTTGTGCATACAGAACTGGGGTATAGGCCAGAGGTGTAGGAGCCACTGGTGAGAGGATTCACCAGAGAGACTGGGGAGTAGAACAGGTAGATTGGTGAAGTACACTGCTGAGGGGAGCAGTAAGCGGGTCAGGAGAGGTCTACTGTGCCATGTGGGTCACCTCTGGGGCCAGGGATTGAGCATTGAAGTGTTAGCTTCATAGTGGTGTGCTGTAACCTGTTGCCTCACCAGGGAGGCCCCTAAAACCTCATTTTAAAGCTACGTGCAGGTCATATGTGCTAGTGATACGTGTTAATGACCTGCCTTGAAGATTCTGAAGATAAAGACTTCTGATTGGAGATGACTTTATCATCTACTGGTGAATATTCAGGATATTCTTTTGAAATTTGTATTTCATCTTTTGTGTTAATTGTCTTTATTAGTTTTTGACCTGTGGTAGCTGCCAAATTGGATACTTACTAAAAATTAGCACAAAACAAGCATTAAAGGTAGATCCACTAATTTTTATAAAATATTCCACTAGCATATTTTTGTTTCATGGCTTAATTTTCTATATAATTTTAATTAACATTGGTAATATGATTTTGTGTGAATTTAGGTGCTGTATATTCAAATATTTTAGAATTAGCTGTGGTAGTCCCTACAAGTATGACCTATTTACAAAGATTGCTTCCTTCCAATTGTAGCTTCTTCATTTGAACTTTTAAATGCATCATATTTACATATGAAAATGTTGCATAGATTATACAGTTTGATATCAGAGATATGTGTGAGTGCATATGTTTGCATATGTACACATGTATATCTAAAAAATGTTTTTATGTACATGTAGATGTGATAATTTGTGTACTTTTAAACTGTAAAGTTGCCAGTTTGAATTAAAGGAAATAAGCAGTTAAGCATTGTTTCATTCCAAACCTCTATAGTTTTCCTTAACTGTTTTCCACCTCTTTACTCTTTATGTTATATGTTATGTGGTATCATAACAGATACTTACATCTAGCTCTTATACTAAATCATGAAAATTCTTATTTCTCTGTTGCATCTTAACTAGCACTTTAAGGTTACCTAGAAAATCTGGTGGAAAATTTATTGAAGATAGTGTTATAAGAATTTTACTAGCTTGTTCAAAGAAAAAATTATGTTCATCATTTGTATTCAGCAGGTATGGTTGTTAGTCACAACTTTAAACAGTAAATTTTCTGTGAATCATCCATAACCTAGTTAGAAATATTTAGCTTGTTTCTTTTGTATTTATAGCCTTCATTTCTACACCTTATTTTTTAAAATAAAAGATTCAATTAATAGAAGTGATGGATATGTTTTGTTAACATCTTTGAATAGGAAATTACTATTATTTTTCAAGTCCTAAACTGTAATATTTTTTTAACCACTTCTTAAAGGTTAATTTCCTTTTCATCAGTGCCTTATCAGGCTTTTGTACTTGCAGTTGATTTCCTACTATATCCTGAATTAAATTAAGGTTTTGCTAAATAAAAAAGAATGTGGCTATATCCCAGATAGTTACATGAGAGACTCTCAATTCAGATAGCCTAAATTGAATTATATACATACTAGCTTTTTTCTATAAAATCTGGAAATCACTTCTCAGGTTTTTATGTTATCCTCATCTTCCTCCTATAAATTAAGATTAATTGGTGTGATGATGAAAGCTATTATAATTGATAGTTAAACTCTTAGTGTGTAACACTATACCTCAGAGGAAATGTTCTAAATAACATGAAATAAAACAGGAAAATTTGCATGTGGTTCTTCTTTGCATGAAATTAGTGCTTATAACTGGTGAGGACATGCTTTGAAAATGTAGTTATAAAATTAGTGAAAAAATTTAAAAATACTATTATGGCATAGCCAATAATGAGGACATTTTCTGTATATCATACTTAAATATAAAGTATATAAATATCACAAGTAGTCTCCTATAGACTTAAGACTTTCTTAATTGCATTAATATATTAGAGGCTTAAAACATGGTGAGAAAATTGATTCTTCCATGGGTTTTTTCTGTTTCATTATTTTACAGGGGTTGACGCAGCAGGTATTTAAGATAATCTGCTTTTCTACAGAATTTACTAATTGAAAATGTGGTCTGTTACCAAAAAAAAAAAAAAAAACAAAAGCTTCAGGGAATCTGGTAGCCCTTATTGACTATATTAACTAAAACAGATATATGATGTAAAGGCCTTGTAATAGCTTACTTTAAAAAAAAAATAGAGGATTCATTATACTTCTAATCATTTTTATTAGGGTAATCTGGTTTTTAAAAAAGGCTATGTGCATTATGGACTACTCTATAGCATTTTGGCTATGTTACAGATAATATTCCTTAATAGTATAAATGTTGAGTCAGGAGAGATATACATACACGTTTTGGAGTAAAGAGGTAGGAGTGTGAGTGTGTATCTCATAATCTATACATTAGTCCCCTGCATTTGGTATGGCTTTCATTCATCTAAGCAAATATTATATTCTTTTTGCTAACAGTGTTGATCTTGTTTTTTAATATAAAATTGCTATCTTTGCTCCTTTTAGGAGACAACATAAAATGTATATAAATGAAAGCAAAATGTTTACTTTTATTGAAACTTTTTTGGGGAAGATTTGTTTATTTATTCATACAGAATTGGGGTATAGGCCAGAGGTGCAGGGGCAGTGAGAAGATTCACCAGAGACAGAGTGGGGAGCAGAACAGGCCAACTGACAAAGTACACTGCTGAGGGGAGCAGCTGAGGGGCCAGGAGAGGTCTGCCACGCCTTGTGGATCACCTCCGGGGCTGGGATCAAACTCACACTGAAGCAGCTAGGGCCAGCTTGCAATACTGCGTCCTAACTTTTGCGCCACCTGGGAGGGCCCTTTATTGTAACTCTTAATAAGAATGCTTTATTATACTTAGAAGTCTTAAGAAATTTGGGGGCTATATCTTACTTACTTTTAATATAATTAGACTGTTTTTTTCCCCATCCTTACAACATAAGTACAGGTTTAGAAATGCTGGGAAATGTTCTGAAGAAAATCTAATTCATCCAAAATCTGATTGCTTACATAGTCACTATTAATGTTTTATATTTTTTCTTTCCTGTCTTTTTTAATGCACTCTTTACTGAAACGGAATTGAGATATTATTGTGTGACTTTTGTGCACTATATTGGTTTTATATCTTGCTTTCTTAGTACATCTGAATGTACATTCTTGTTACTATTCCTTAATTTGTTGAGTGACTGCATAGTACTTTGTCACTTCGTTCCACATTATGGACTCTGGAGTCAGACTTCCTGGCATCATATCCAAGCTCAACCATTTAAATAGCTGCGTGACTGTGGGGAAGTTAATTTTTTCTCCTATGCCTTAATTTCCTTATTTACCAAGGTGGGACAGGAGAAGAGACAATCATGATGTGTACTTCATAGAGTTTGGATGGGAATTTTTTTTTTTAAAGATTTATTTATTTGTACAAAACTGGGGTACAGGCCAGAGATGCGGAGGGTGATAAGATTCACCAGAGACAGAGCAGGGAGCAGAACAGGTTGACTGGGAAGTACACTGCGGAGGGAAGCAGTGGTTGGGTCAGGAGAGGTCTGCCTGGCCATGTGGATCTCCTCCGGGGCAGGCAGGGATCAAACTCATGAAGAAGTGGCTTAAGCTTCTTAGTGCAGTGCTTTAACCTGCTTCGCTTCCAGGGAGGGCCTGGATGGGAATTTTATCTCTTAAGACATGCAAAGTAATTAGAATAGTACCTGGCATTTGTAAGCTAATTACATAAATAAACATTGCTATTAACAGACATCTAATTTTAAAATTGCATTGTTAATCTCAAAAGTGATTCCTAATATTTCCTATTATAATGTAGTCTGCTAAATATCCTTTACATAAACCTTTCTATACAGCAATGATTATCTCCTTAGGAAAGTATGTTTAAGTAGAATGGTAAGTCAAGAGGAGTAAACACCCCCTCCTCCCTACTAATTGCTTATGGAAAGCTCTTATCCACTTAAACTTTATTTGGCAGGGCTTGAGAGTATTCATTTTATCTTCACAAATATTATACATTAAAGATAAACCTCGAGAAATTTTGTGCACTCTAACTCTAATGCTCATCTCATGGATAGCACTCAAAAAGTTATTATTGGTACTATTAAAAGACTATTAGCTTATTACTATTACTTTAAAACAAGGTTTGTTCTAGGAATTTTACAGAAGATAATGGGGATCTGAGGCATCTAATTTGTGTTTTGCTATGTTATGAAGACTTCTTTGATGCTCTAAGACTAAATCTTCTAACATTTAACATTCTTAGATTCTAAATTAAAGTTGATTAGCAATATGTGTAGAGTTGGAAAATAGGTTAAAAGTTTTTTTATCTTTAGTAGCTGCAATAAAGAGAAGTTTATATTTCTCTCATATCTGTCTAATGGGAAACATGATCTGCTCCTCTTTCACATTTGGCTTCCTTGCCTGATCCTTAGTGATTTCTCTCGCCATTGACATTACCCTGAAAATAGGAAGGGGGATAGCTAAACAGCAGGTCAAGGACAAACAGTCTTTATCTTTTAGAATGTGACTTCAGAAATGTGCCTCTCACTTTCTTTCTACTGTCTGTCACATGATAATTTGTAGCTGCAAGAGAGACTGGGATTATCTCTAAATAGGGGGCAAATGCTCTGCTGAAATTCAGTGAGAGACCTAATGTGAAAGGAATGAGGGATTGAATACAGACAATCAGTCATCAGTCTTTGCCACAATAAGGCAATAATAAGCATTTGTAATCATAAAATAAAGATCAGTGACCTGCTAGAAGTTCTGAACATTTTAAAGAAATACAAGCTTGCAATTGTGTGGAAACAACTTAAGCTTTGCTCTTAATTTTTTAAATTGCAAATTAAAACCAGGGTTGAGATACATTTCCTCCATTAAACAAATCTCAACCCTGATTTTAATTTGCACAGAAACTTGGCAGTAGCTATCTCTACTGGTGAGAGGGAACTTTGATTTTATATACTATGTTTACATCTTCTTATGCATCTTTTTAAAATGAAGTCTTTTTAAAATGAAAATACCACTTATTCTTCAAAATATTGGTTATCCTCATGTGGGAATTTCACAAGCTGGTTTAGTTATCTTTCATCTAATTAAGCTTGTATCTAGCCAACCTTTTTCATTTTTGTACTTAAATCACTTTTATTTATATATAATTTAGGTGTGATTGGTTGCTTTTACTTGGTATGTACAGTTTGATGAGGTAAACAGATGTGCATACCTGTTAAATACCACAATCAAAATATAGAATCTTTCCTTCCTCTTCAAAAACTCCTTTGTGCTTCCATTTAGTTCATCCCTCCTCTGCCCTGCCTATAGACAGCCACTATGTATTTAATGTCATTAGGCTTTTCCCCACTCCTGAGTTCACATAAATGCAGTCATAGAATATATTGCCTTTGTGATTAGCTTCTCACTAAGCACCATGCTTTGGAGCATGTTAGTAGTTTGTTGCATGTTAGTAGTATGTTCCTTATATTACTAGGTAGTACTTTGCATTGAATGAACATGCTATATATTGTTTGTCTATTCATTTGATCCATATTCATTGATGGATATTTATGGTGTTTTCAAGATTTTGGCTATTGTGAATAAACCTAAACTTTTTTTCAGAAATGCTTTTGCATTCCCTGCAGCAGTGTGTAGGAGCCCCTGTTCTTATTTAGTTGACATTTGTTGTTGTTTGCCTTTAAAATTTTAACCCTGATGGGAGTATGATGATATCTCTTTATAGTTTTAGTTAACCCTGATGGGAGATGATATCTCTCACATGACTAAGGATGCTCAGGATCTTTTGATGTGTTTATTGGCTATCTGTACATCTTTTGTGAAGTTTGTCTGGGATCTTCTATTCACTTTTAGAATGGATTGTTTCATTATTGAGATGTAAGAGTTACTTTGACATTTTAGATACAACTGATTAATATGATACACGTTATCCTATTCTGTGGCTTTTCTTTTTATTTTTCTGACCTGTTGTTGCAATGTCACCATACCATTGTTGCAGATCATTTTATGAAGATAAGGAATACTTGTCCCTTTAAAAGGAAATATGAGCAGATTATGAAATCATTATAGATATGAACTTACAATGTTCACTTACCTGATCTGGTTGGTAGGCAGCAGGAGTGGAGACCGAATAATAAATTAAGTCATGTTATATTAAGTTAGTACTAGAGAACAGTGCTCATCCAGTTAATCAGACTGTTGTTGATTTTTACTGTTGCCAAGCAACAGAGATCTGTTTTTCCTTATCAGTGCCCAAAAGCTTTCTTCTACACCAGCCTTTTTTCATGTGCCTGACGTTTTCCTTATTCTCCTGTTTTAAAACCCACCACAGTTGCATATTTCAGGAAGATGGACTGATTCTTAGGATTGAAACATTTAAACCCAAGTAGTATAGTGACCTGATTTCCATTGTGGGACAAGAGTTAGAGAGGTTTTAGAAGTCTTAGATTTTTGGTCTAGATTGGGTGGGCCAACTACAACCTATTGGCTAAATCTAGCTTGATTCTTATCTTCATAACTAAAGTAAGTGAAGTAAATACATATGTTTGTTATATGTGTTTGTGACTACTTTCATGCTGCAATGACAGTCTTGAATTCTTGCAACAGAGACTTTGGCCCACAAAGCCTAAAATATTTATCTGGCTTTTTACAGAAAACATTTGCTGACTTCCGGCCCAGGGAGAAACATAAATAGCAATAAAATGTCATTTCTTTCTGAGTGAAAATTCATCTTTTCATGAGCAAAACTTTATACTGAGTTCATTTTAAGTTTTTTTTTATCAATATTCTTTTGTAACCAATATAATTTCTAAAACTTTTATCAGTTTTATAGAGATACTTGGCTATAACCGAATGGTATTCCTAAGCTTTTTTAAATAATTCTTAGAAAATCATATAATTACTATTTAAAATTTTTATTTTATTTTTTGACTGATGAAGTACCATTGCTTTCTATAATTTAATTATCCCCATTCAGGTATTGAGTTTTCTTAGATCCATTTGATATTCTTTTATTTGCTGCAGGTTTCCCAGTGGCCATATGCTACTTGTAAGTAGTGGTCAGGTGACTTGTAAACCACCCTAAATTCAATTATATGATTACTTGAATTAAGAATGTGCTTGAGGAGAAAAGAGGCAGAGATAGATGATAGTGCAGAGATGACCAAATCTTTTCTTTTAAAACCTGATTATGTTTCTTAACATTTGCCCCACTTGTTAGCTTTTCTTTCCAGTTCACTCTCTACATGTAACTTGAGTTACATGTAGATAACTGTTCTTAAGCTATTTTAGAAGAAGAGGTTATATAGTCATTTTCTTCAGTGATAGTAAGTTAAATTTTGATTTATTATGAGGGAAAAATTGTAAGTATTCTAATGGCTCTTAAAAAACTCATTTATTTGCTAGGTAAGTTCTCTTCTACGCTTTATGAGACTGGTGGCTGTGATATGTCACTTGTGAATTTTGAACCAGCAGCAAGAAGAGCATCCAATATCTGGTATGTGTGAAGTCAAATTAGGACAAAGTATATACTTGCAAATATTTGCCATGTTTAAATTTTTAAAAGTTACTTTGAAAACACTTTGTTTATTGACTTAATTGTGTCAATGATTCATTTGTCTCCAAAGAATGTGTTTTCTTTTTCTGGAAGTATAATATAAAATAATGGAGAAGTTAGGAGAAAAACAAATAAGTTAGAAATCTTGATCATTTAACATAATCAACTATAGTTTTGAACCTTAAAATTTTGTTTTCTAAAATTTTACCCCTACTGTTCATCTGCTCAGGTTGTTACTTTGACATCTATTGATTAATTAGCTCACTTTGTCACAAGAGTCATTTGGATTTCCACTTAATGATGAGAAATGTCTTATTTAATTGTTATCTTAAACATAAATATGCATCTGTGGACAGTTCACTTAGTTTCTTTCTTTATTTTTTAAGATTTATTTAAGCATATAAAAACTGGGGTTTAGGCCAGAGGCTGGGGGGTGAAAGGATTTACCAGAGACAGAGTGGGGAGCAGAACAGGCAGGTGAACTGAAATACACCAATGAGGGGAGCAGTGGGCAGTCCAGGAGAGGTCTGCTGCACCATGTGGGTCAGCTCCCTTGCGCTGCAGTGGCTGCTGATAGTTCCATAGTACTGCACTTGAATGTGTTGTGCCACCAATGAAAGCCCTCACTCACTTAGTTTCTTGAGTTTAAGGGGCTATTTTAAAGCAATTAAATCTTAAGTCACTTAGTTTATGGCAGAAAAGATAAAACACTCCGAAACCATTTTCTGAACGAACTCTGTTAAAAATGATTAAATTGGAGTATCAGCAGATTGTAACAGTAAAAGCAATTGGAAGGTGAATCAATGGAAACATTTAACCACATTTAATATAATTCAAGACAAGAACAGTTCCATGGTTAAAATACCAAGTTTTGAGATCTAAACTTGACTCAGTTAAAAATTGAACTGTGGGCCCTCCCTGGTGGCGCAGCGGGTTAAAGCACTGCACTAAGAAGCTTAGGCCACTTCTGCATGAGTTCTATCCCCACCGGCCCCGGAGGAGATCCACATGGCGTGGCAGACCTCTCCTGACCCTCCCGCTGCTCCCCTCAGCAGTGTACTTCATTCATCTGCCTGTTCTGCTCCCCACTCTGTCTCTGGTGAATCCTCTCACCCTCTGCATCACTGGCCTGTACCCCAGTTCTGTACGAATAAATAAATAAATCTTTAAAAAAAAAAAAGTTGAACTGTCAGTACTAGTACTGGCTTACATTTATTGTGGTTCCAGACAATATATTAATTGTTTTCTTAAATACTTTTTATAAGAACTTTGTGATAGAAGCACTATCATTTTGTTACTGTTGAATAAACTGGGGTATGAAAAGGTGAGATAATTTGTATAAGATCTCATTTAGTTGATAAAGAAATTTGAATGTAGATACTCTGACCCAAAGATTATGTACCCTTAATCACAACACTAAAAAAATACTCTCTTAATATTTGAATTTTGCATGGAAAAATGAAACCATTGTCAATATTGTCTAATTAGTAAGGATTTATTTTTCTGTTTTCCACTTGACAAGATGTTTATTCCTTTAAGATTTTTCCCCTACATTTTATTTTAGTGACACGGATTCTCATGTATCCAGTTCTACCTCAGTTCGATTTTATCCACATGATGTGGTAAGTTTTACTTTATTGTTATCAAATGTACTTTCAGATTAAGTAACTATAGAAATCAGTAAAATCAGTTAGAAAAGACAAAACAGACCAGCCCTTATTAGCACCATTTAAGAGGTACATGTACATACATTTAGGGCTAAAGGGATTAATCATTTGCAGGTTCCAGATAATGAAAGTTTTGAGTAAGGATAAGATATAGATATGAATCAGCATATAACAGTGATTTTCGACTACTGAACACCTGGCAGTGTCAGAAAACATATTTTGCTTGTCACAGCTGGGAGAATGCTACTGTTATCTAGTGGTTTGGAGCCACGGATGCTGTTAAAAACCATACAGTGGAACATATAGCCTTGACAAGAGGAAGTATGTGGCTGACAATATCTGTGGTGACAAGTTTAAGAAAACATTGAGGATAAGAAAAAAAGTGAAGACGGATTTGTCAATGTTTTATTGACAAATGCATATTTTATATGTGTGTGTGTGTGTGTGTGTGTATAATATATGTTTTATATATATATATATATATACATATATATATATATATAATAGCTTGTCTTTACTATCCTTACTTATGTGTTTGAAAAGTAAAGATTGTTCTTACTTTCTTGCTGCAGAGTATTCCTGGAGCTTCAAAGAGAAGCAAAAATGGGAAAAATGATTGTTATATTGTTTTTCACTGTTAAATGGTATGAAACCCTTATGTTAACCAAACACTGGCCAGTGCTGAGCTAGATAAAATGGATTCTTTTAGAGCAAGGGGATATTGGTGAACTAGTGAATGACTGGCTGAGTTAAAACTAAAAGCAGTATACTCTGATTTCTTATATAGGCTCAGATTGACTCACTGTAAGTGATTTTAATGCACTGAATTGCTGCATAATCATAAGATATTAAGAATTTAAAGTTTTCCTAATAAAACCTATCTAAAAGACCATTAGATTAATTTGCTTTGTTTATTGCCTTCAAAATGTCATCTGCTGTAGTTTTACATGATATTATATTATATGATCTTTAGTCCACAAAGGGTAGACTAATGTGGAGAATTAAGGCCTTAATAATCTTCATGCTAACTGAATAGCCTTGAATCATGATTTGATTAGCTAGCTTAAGCCTTTCAATGCTGACTTTCTTTCAGCTCTCTCTTCCACAGATTCGATTGAACAGACTATTAACCATCGATACAGATTTGTTGGAGCAACAAGACATTGATCTAAGCCCTGACATAGGCACTACTTACGGTCCAACAGAAGAGGCTGCCCAAAAAGTTAAACACTATTACCGCTTTTGGATCTTGCCACAGCTGTGGATTGGCATTAACTTTGACAGACTCACACTTTTGGCTTTGTTTGACAGGTGAGCATTAAAATGTTTGTAGATTTATTTTTAAATTAAAAACCTTCTAAATACCCATTGAGATTTTTAGTTGGTTACTGTGTTGGAAAGTGTTTTCTATTTTTGTCCTTTTAAGATAAAATTTAAGTTAATAGACTCCCAAACATCGAGTTTCTTGAATTCACTAACATCATTTTGTGTCAATTTTGATATGTTTAGACCAAAAATACTTTCTCATCAATAAAAAACCATACAATTCTTAAAACTAGAGAATATGTGATATTTAATGATTGTAAGATTATAGGTCATAAAACCCTAATTATAAAAGGAATAGAAGACACTTCTGTCTTTATCTCTTAGAACTGTTCTTAATAGCAAACAACGTATGTCTATTATGAACTTGGTAATCAAGTGCTTCTTGCAGTCAACATGGGATATTAAGGATTGAATTTACCTTCCTATGTGAAGTGATTTTCAAGATTAAATTTAAGCTAAAACCACAGAGTAGTAATTATTGATAGATGGGAAACAAATTATGTGGAGTCTTGCAATTGCCCATTCTGTTGCCAGAGAGTTCCCAGCATTACACAACCAACAAGGGGTTAGCATATCCAAGATACACCCGCCAAAAAATTCAATTTAGCAACGAAGGAAACAACCCAATTAATGAAGTTAGCAGCAGGTCTAAATAGCTGATTGTCCAAAGAGAAGTCAGCCTTTAACTGTCATAGATATTACAAAGACATTAAACAGCTATAATTGTACTTTGTATTTCTAAAAAGTTAAGTAGACTGGAAGAAACTTTAAACACTTAAATCAAACTTAATAGAGATGTAAAAATTGTCTAAATTTAAAAATATAATGAGTGGCATTAATGGCAAGTAAGATGCTACAGAAGAAAATATTAGTGATTTGAAAGTATAGCAATAGAAATTATATAAATGAAACAAAACAAAAAGAATCATTACCCTGCTCCTATCTCTTAGTGAACTTCACATCAACCATAGAATGCTTTATTTAAGCACATAAGAATTCGTGCTAATATTTTGCATAAACTTGTTTCTTTTTCAGTATAATCTAAAACCTTACTCAAACCTAGTACCAAAACACAGCAGATGTATTGTAATGTGAACTTTATGTTAATGTCATTCTTTTTTTCCATTCCAACCATTTTATTTTATTGATGATTCAGCTCAAAATTTTTCTATCTACAGAAATCGTGAGATCCTAGAAAATGTATTAGCTGTCATCCTGGCAATTCTTGTGGCTTTTTTGGGCTCTGTTCTTCTCATTCAAGGCTTCTTCAGAGATATATGGGTCTTCCAGTTCTGCCTGGTGATAGCCAGCTGTCAATACTCACTACTTAAGGTACCCGCATCTCTCTTTAGGCTACAGGACAATATTTGTATTAAAAAGCAGAGAGGGTTTCAGATTATGTGTACATGCTTGTGTGTGCCTGTGTGTGTGTGTGTTTATCACTGAATTGTCATATTTAGTTTTGGATTTATTTATGTTAAATTTAGTAGGGATCAGAAGGGACATAAAAACTTTTAAAATGATACATAAATGAAGCATCCTCAAAATTAGTTTTTATGTTAGAATATGTGTGCACGTGTTAAAAATAATAATTTTTCATTACTGAAATTTATTTTTAATGAAATTATTACATTTTAAGTATTCTGTAGGTGAAATTTATTAAAATCTGTTCTTGGTAGATACAGTAATGTTAAAACTAGTATCAGAAGTGAAAGGTTGTTCTCACTTCCATTGCTCTAACATACCATGTTATCAATTTTAAGCTTTGCAAAAATAGGAGAATGAATACTAAAATTTTTACTATCCATGCAAAACCAGTTGGACTATTAATGTAGACTCTTTCCTTTCCATTCTTTCTTGTTTGTATTGGTAAGTTGACTGGTATACGCTATGATGCAGAACCTTTCCTGTCCTAAAAACTATTAATTATTTCTGCTTATACCATCAAATGTTCTTTCTTTTTTCACTCACCATTTTTAAATAGGCATTTAAAATAAGTCACCTGTGTCAACCATTCCTTTACTCCAAAATCCATCCATATATGTTTCCTTATTGCAATAGTAAATTACAGTTAGTGTGGCTGCTAATGATCTGTGATTGCCAAATCTGTATTCATTTCTTTTCTGAATGGTGCATCATTTAATCCCTATGAAAATTATATTCCATTTTTCTACTCTCATTGTTTTGGCTTTGTGTGTGTATATGTGTGTATGTGTGTGTAACTTTATACTACCTTGGCAATTATCTTACTTTTGGGATAACTTTATTTTCCTTTGTTGATGCCTCTTTGTTCTTTTGATCACTTCTGATTTGGTGAGAATTTGCTAGTATTTTGTCTCTCTTTTTACTTTGTAAGCCCTTGTCAATGAGTTCATATTCTTTATTATTTGATCTGTTGTCCTTATAAATAAATTTTATCTATATTTATATCTCAAAGTCTTCAACTTTGACAGTTCTAGTCCCATATATCTAACAGGCACATTTAAAAAAGAAGATATCACAGATGTTTTGCCTTCTTCATTCCTTTGCTTTTAGACAGACTCAAAACTGTAAGCCTCTACTTTTTCCTTCTTGATTCCTTAATGACAAGCAGCCAAGTCCCTCTGATTAAATTTGGTGATCTTGTGTCAAAATTTCTACCCTTGTTCTTTCTTTCTTCTCAACCACCCTTAATCTACCCTTCTGTCTTAAGCCACTTAAATTTCTTCTCCAGTTCCATCATCCCTGTGTCCCATTCATTTTGTCTGATACTTTTAGGTGAATATAATTTTAGAAATGAAAAATATAAAAGATGACAAATTTTATTTTAATTGACTAGAAGAACAGTAATGTTGTAAACAGAAATAAAGTGTATAACAACTTTTTGAGGATAGATTTTAGGATGGAAAGATTTTTTAAAAAATAACATAGTTTATTTTTACATCATTTTGTGCCCTTTTTCCATCTCAGTTGTTATCCCTGTGGACTTCCCATTACCAAATCACTTGTGTGCCATCATCATAGTCCAGTGCACTTCCTCTCCCCTGCCATTTTTATCCCATTTCCCATAAAATGTCTCTGGTATATAGCTGTTCATTATCCACCCCCATGAAATGTCTCTGGTATATAGCTGTTCATTATTATTATTATTTTCTCGCCTTGTCCATTATACTCCTGCTATGAATGAAATCATCCAGTATTTTCCCTTTTCTTTCTGGCTTATTTCACTAAGCATGATCTCTTCCAGCTCCATCCATGTTGCTGCAAAAGGCATGTGTTTGTTTATTTTTTGGTTGCTGAGTAATATTCCATTGCGTATATATACCACATCTTTTTAATCCAGTCAGCTACTTTTGGGCATTTGGGCTGTTTCCATGTCTTTCCGATTGTAAATAAAGCAGCAGTAAACATGGGGGTGCAGGTGTCTTTATGAATCAGTGTTTTTGTGTCTTTTGGGTAGATATGGAGGAGTGGGATTGCTGGGTCTTATGGGAGCTCCATTTTTAGCAGTTTGAGAAACCTCCAAACAGTTTTTCATAGAGGTTTTACTAGTAAAATGGAAAGATTTTAAACCAGATTTCATAACTAGCCAAGGCCCACATGCCAAACTTGGTGTAGAATTGTAGAGTGGTGATGGACTACTCTAAATACACCGTTTCATGTGTTATAGGAAATGAACTGGTGATGGGGAGGAGAGTCATGATTTTGAAAGTAGCTGCATAACACTTTTGAACATTTTTATTTTAGAAGGATGCAGTTTAACTCACTTGATTTTAATGTGAAAACACAGATCATAGCTTAATGCAAATACCACTGTATTATTTATTAAGCTTGGAATTTGTGGATAGAACTAGAGCTCTTACAAGCTAGTACACTGTTCTGTGTATTTCTTGAATGGAGTAATGTTGCACGAAAAAGCATTCTACCTTTATTCTTAGGTGTAGTGGTGAGTGAAGCAGTAAGATGGATCTGTCTACCATAGCCACTTCAGAAATTTTAAGCTAGATAGAAATTATTAACCATAGGAAGTTTAAGAATTCGGAAGGATTTTACATGTTTTGAATATTACACTGACACCAGTATGTCACTTTTTATCTTCTCTTGATATTTTAACAGAGTTTATGTGGCTCATTTCTTAGCAGTGGCTCATTTCTTAGCAGTGGAGTCTGTACTTGAGATTATTTTAGACATTTTGAAGTTACTTGTAAAATTGTTAGGACTTTAGAAGTATAATCTGTTTTTCTGTTTCATTTTTAGAGTGTTCAACCAGATTCTTCTTCTCCCAGACATGTAAGTCACTGCAACATGCCTATAACTCATAGTTCCTTAACATTCATCAGAACCTTTCTTTATCATGTCAGATTGAATTAACATTTATTGTTTTCTCATCTAAGTCTCGACATTACTACTACAAAATATAAATGATTTATGAGCTTAGAGTAAAGTGACATTGTAATTATGGTTTCTTAAATCTTGGTTGAAAATGAGCATTATAAAAATTTTTGAGAGCCTATTTCAGGGAGGAAGTTATCAGTTAGATAGGCATGGTTCGTATAGATTTGTCCTTGTCTTATAAGTTGCATTTAATTAATTTTAAGCACTAGATCATGAGTAAGTATTGAAAAATAGAATTTTGAGGTAGGAAAAACATTTTGACTTCTAAAAAATTATTAGCTTTGGACACTATTTGTTGTGATGTATGATCCACTTTGTCTTCACTATAGAGCACTTAATTAATAGACTAAAAGCAGTCTTTTTAAAAGTAGTTCAGAAACAGATTCCATTTTTATGATGATGCCTTTCTACTTAAATATTATTATTTTTGCCTATACATATTTAATGAGAGTAGGTGAGCAAAGCAACACAAAGAGGCAAGTGATTTTAATTGTTATGTTTCAACTGGTTATGTTTACTATTTTGTAACAGTGCTTTTGAAGTGTAATGATAAATAGAAGTATAGTTTTAACTTTTTATTTCAATATAATTTCAGGCTTAGGGAAAAGATATAGATAGCATACCAAGAATTCCTAATGTAATTCACTTAGAATTTGTGTTAACATTTTAACCACATTTGCTTATTCTTTTAGTTCTAGTTTCTCTCTCTCTGTGTCACACACACATGTATGTGTACACACACTTTTCAAAACTGAGTGTGAATTGTGGACAATTTCTGCTTTATCTCTTTATCTCCCTTTGCTGCTTTATCTCTAAATACTGCAGAGTATGTTTCTAGAACCAAAGGCATTCCATTCTACCTAATGATTAAAATAGGATATCAGTGTTGGTATAATACTAGGCTATAGGTCTTACTCAGATGGTTTCCATTGTTTCAATCGGTGATAGAAAATCCATGATTATGGATTTGATCTTTTTAGCCTCTCTGACCTAGAGTTCTTCAGTATTTGTCTTTCAAATACTGACATTTTTGACTTGTCCAAGACAGTTATTTTGTAGACTATCCCTTAATTCTGGTTTTCTGATAATCTTGATTAGCCAGAAGGCATGTTTTTTTTTTTTTTTTTTTTTTTTGGTAGACATACTATGGCAGTGACGTATTCGCAGGACATTGTATCAAGAAGCACATGCTTTTAGTATATCCTTTTATTGGTGGTGTTAACTTTGATCATTTTGGCTAAGGGTAGTGTTTAACGGGTCTTTGGCCACTAATTTTTTTTTATTAACTTTTTTCTTTTAAAGATTTATTTTTTTTGTAGAAGAACTGGGGTGTGGGCCAGAGGTGATGGGAGTGAGAAGACTCAAGAGATAGCATGGGGAGCAGAACAGAGAACAGGAAGATTTACTGAAATACACTGCTGAGGGGAGCAGCATGCAAGACAAGAGAGGTCTGCTGCATCCTGTGGGTCAGCTCCCTGGTAGAGGCTCCAACTCAGGCCACCAGGGTGGGCTGTTGCAGTGGTAGTACTGATAATTAATCCCTAAGCCAGTAGGGAGGCTTCTACAATATTAGTATTTTAAGCTGGACAGTTCTTTGTTGATTGCAGTTAGAGTGCCAAAAGGATATAGAGTTTGACTTGTGAACAACTTGGGGGTTGGGAGAGTGACATTCCCCAACCCAAGGTCAAAAACCTGTATAACTTACAGGTGGCCCTCCATGCCAGAGAGTGCTATTCTGTGCTTTGCCAGGTGTTTAGTGTTATCTCTGACCTCTACCCACCAGATTTGGTAGCACGTGCACCCCAATTGTAAAATCCAAAGATCTCCAGACATTTCTAGATGTCCCCTTTGGGGCAGCCTTCTTCCATTGCCTAAGAACCAATATTCCACTGGAATGTTACTGTTTTTCTCTTCTAGTTGAGAAGTATCTCAAAGGAGATAATTCAATTTTATGTATGTCCAGTTGCCCGGCAAACTACTGTCTACTTGTTTTTGTTTTGATACCTGTTGATGTTTACCTATGTTAGAATTTCTTGACATTTTTGTTTGAATCAGTTATCATTTGGTGACGCCAGATAGTGATTTTTTCTAATTCCATTATTCCTTTAACTGTAATAATGTTCCCTTATGCCTTTATTTTTTTTTATGTTTGTATATTTTCATGGATTCTTATTTTATTCAATATAGTATAATGTTACTCTCATTTGTTTTGAAATTCAAATCACCCCTGATTTGGCTGTTGGGTATCAAAAAGCTGCTTGCTAATTCCTTTTAACAGCGCAGTGCCATTGTTTATATATAGTTGAATCTTGAACAACAGACTTTGAACTGCAGGATCCACTTACACATAGATTTTACTCTGCTTGCTGGTTCCACATTTATGGATTCAGCCAACCTCTGCTGACACTTGACTGAATCCATGGATGCAGCACTCTCTGGCATGGAGGGCCAACTGTTAAGTTATATAGGTTTTTGACGGTGGGTTGGGGAATGTCACTCTCCCAACCCCCAAATTGTTCACAAGTCAAACTCTACGTCCTATTTGACACTCTAACTATATATTTCAGGCTTGTCTAACACTTTCCCTACTCTAGGCTAAAACCAGCCTTTTCTCTGGAATCCTGGTTCTTTTTTAATGAATAATAGTATTTAAAAATCAATATCTGGATGCTAGCCATCTTTATTACTAGTAAGTCATTGCTTCTAGGTCTTCTCAGTGGCAAAAGCTATGAAAAATGCATGTATGGACCTACGTATATATACACACTCAATATCTATTTATATGCATATTAAAAACAATGAGTTCATGCTGATACCTTTAATTTCAATCCATTATCCAGGGTCATCATAATCTCCCTCCTTTGCATATTTGTAATTCCCTTCTGCAAAGGTCAGAAACCTGATTTCCAATGGAAGCATTTTAAATTCATAGAGTATAAGCCATCAAAGATCACGATAACTACTTATGACTCTTGAAATTAAGTAACATCTTTTTCATATTATTTTCAGGGTCATAATCGTATCATTGCCTACAGTAGGCCAGTTTATTTCTGTTTATGTTGTGGTCTTATTTGGCTCCTGGATTTTGGTAGCAGAAACCTTACTACAACCAAGTTCAAATTATATGGAATAACTTTCACCAATCCACTGGTGCTTATATCAGCCAGGGATTTAGTTATAGGTAAGTCATCTTTAAAGTATCTCAAATCATAATTTATATGTGTATAAGTTGCTTACTGATAGACCAATTTAGATTAAAATATATAATTTTAATAGGCTTATTTTGCTGTTTATTGTAATCTCTGGAGAATAAAACTATAGGGTGATTCTCCACTTAGGTTCCTATTATGTGAAAATGATTGAAATAATTTTTAAAGTTGTTCTTTATAGCTCAAAAGATTATTAAATACCCAAAGTAGAGTATTATTACCCAAATAATTTTAAATGTCTTTTTAAAAATTGCTTAGTGTTTTATCTTAATTGTGGACTTCTTTTTATTCTTTATGATCCTCAATGAACAAAAGCATAGATATGATATACTATTTTTAATATCCTTTTCTTTCCTTCTGTAGTGTTTACACTCTGTTTCCCAATAGTATTTTTCATTGGTCTCCTGCCTCAGGTGAATACATTTGTGATGTACCTCTGTGAACAATTGGATATTCATATCTTTGGTGGTAATGGTGAGTACTTACTTATAAAAATTACAGGTTAGAGTATTAATTTTATAGACCATGAAGTAATAAATTAAACCTTAAAATGTTTTTCTGGTTTTCATTTTAGAGTTGAAATTAGTGGGGAGAAGGCACATAAAATTTAAGACTGAGCAGCACTTAACCTGTAGAGAGGAAAAAGCCAAATTTCCTACTTCAATGAAAGACCCAGTAATATTGGAGTTGATTTCTACACTTGGTCTTACTTAGCCAAATGCTGAGAAGTGATAGGAGTTGATTTCTAAGAAGTGATAAATCACTTCTGTCTAAAATTAGGTTCTAGTTATTTTACATGGAACCTGTATACGCTTAAGAAATATGTGTAAAGTTCCATGTATTTTGAAAGATTGAGTTCGGATATAAATCATTTTGTTTGTATTTTGAACTGGTTTGTGCATTTGGTATATAGCTATATGGTTGATTTCAAAGCTTTGTTTTATATATAATGAATGGGAACACTACAACTAGTATGTTTTTAAGTATCTACTTTTAGAGTAGAATATGTGGATGTTAACTGATATTCTTTAAAATTTACTGTCCTGTTACATATATATTTGAGTGAATAATTATTCTTATCTTGGGCTTGTTAATGATTTGCCAGTCTTAATAATGAACCCTGTGGGCAGTCACCTTAGTTAAAGTATACCCTCACTTGGTTTAGCAACTTAATGTGTATTCAAAGATGAGTAAAAACTAAAGAAAAAATATGGAAGGGAATGAATTACTGTAAGTTTATAGTCCATTTTCATGCTTTACATTTTCAGTCACTGTTAGTCTTACAAGTAATCTCTGCAGCCAAGATGTTAAATATTATGACTGAAATTTAAATAGAAACCAAGCTTTTCCTGTATTGCTGTATATCTAGAAAATTTTCAATTTTTTGAAGATGTTTTTTTGAAGAGGCGCGTGAATTAAGGCTGGGTGGGATTTAATTATAGTTTATTGGGTAGGAGACAGCGATAGTATTTATGAACTATTAAAGGTTCTGGTTAATCTCAGTACCTTGTTGAGAGTTTAGGGTACGTAATTTATATTAACTGGCTTTATCAAGATGTGGTATATAACCATAGAATAGTACTCAGTGATTGTAAAGGATGAACTCATACTATTTGCAACAACATGGAATTTAAATGGAAGGAGTCAAGCGTCGCAAAATAAGTCCCAAGGAGAAAGACTAATACTGGATGGTGTCACTTGTATGTGGAACTATGGAGAAACCAGACAATGGGTCAGATAAAGCTAAAACCCAAAGCTAACCCTTAAAGGCATATTATGGTCCTCCCTGGGGCGCAGTGGGTTAAAGCACAGCACTGAGAAGCTTAAGCCACTTCTGCATGAGTTTGATCCCTGCCTGCCCCGGAGGTGACCACATGGCGTGGCAGACCTCTCCTGACCCACCCGCTGCTCCCCTCAGCACTGTACTTCGTAGATCTGCCTGTTCTGCTCCCCACTCTGTCTCTGGTGAATTCTCTCACCCTCTGCCTCTCTGGCCTGTACCCCAGTTCTGTATGAAAAAATAAATATTAAAAAAAAAAAAGCAATAATATTACAGAACTGGGACCATCAGAGGGTGAGCACAAAGTGAGGTGAGGACACATGGTGATGGACTATGGGTGCTTTGGTCGTGGGAAAACTATGGTAATAGCCCTGGAAGGGCAGTAATCCTGTACTTCAACATAAAAATAGCAGTGTAAACCAACATTATTTCAATATATATAATGTATATTTGTCATATTGTAATTTACAAACTTACGATATTTTATGATGTTAGTTTTTTTTTTATCTCCTGAAGAAAAATTTTTGCTATAGATGTCCTCAGTGGTAACCACATAATATTGCTACTAAAGGAAATCTGTTTTCTATGTATTTTAAGAATAGAGGTTATCTCAGCCATTTCTTATTCTTATTACTAGTAATGCACATGGAACTCTTTTTTGTTCTCACTGATTAGTCAGATGTAGAATTTTTTGCATGAGAATTAGCACATGGCAATACAGATTTCTTCTCTGTCTAACACAAGTTCTGTTAACATAGGTTGATGTCTCAGTTAATACTTAATACTCATTAATTCTTCAGGTCTCTGCAGGCATTTTCCCATCCTTTTGTAAACAATAAGATGTATTCTTGAAGTATAATATAGATTTTTTTAAAGTAATATATACCTATATATGCATTTTTTTTTTTACACCATCCCACTTTCCCTTTCCGGACAGTCTTGTGCGTTCCTCGCGCCCTCCGGTAGAATCCCACCGCCAGCCCTGTGCGCAGTCGCATTGTCCTCTGCCCTCCCGCCCTGTCTGAGACCTTCCCCTTCCTCTGCAGGAGTCTCTGATTTATAGTTTCTTATTTTCGTTTTGTTTTATTGTGTTTTTTATTGTTATTATTTTTCCCTTGCTCCCTTGTATGGTTCTCCTACACTCCTCCTATAAGTGAAACTATCCGATATTTTTCCTTTTTCTTCTGACTTACGTTACTGAGCATAATCCCCTCCAGCTCCGTCCATATTGCTGCATATGGCATGATTTATCATTTTTGGTTGCCGGCTAGTGTCCCCTTGTGTATATATACCGCATCCTTTTTTATCCAGTCATCTATTGTTGGGCATTTGGGTTGATTCCAAGTCTTACCTATTATAAATAGTGCTGCAATATGCATAGGGCTGCAGGTTTCCTTTTGAATTCATGTTTTTGTGTCTTTTGGGTAGGGGTAGAATTGCTGAGTCATATGATTGCTCCTATTTTGTAGAAATGTTCATTACTTCAAAAACAAATACTTTTTTTTTTTTTTTGCATCAAGAATTGTGGAGAGTAATTAGCCCTTTGAAAATCTTTTGAACCCATAGGGTGAATTAACTGAATTTTAAAAAATCAAATGAATAAATATTTAATTATAATTAGTGACTGTAGTCACTGTATGCCATTTTCAATACTTTCTAGTGACCTTTTAAGATGTTTTCCACAAATGTTTATTAAATATTAATTTCTTTTCATTTTAACTGTCTAGCCACTACAAGCCTGCTAGCAGCACTTTACAGCTTTATCTGTAGCATTGTGGCAGTGGCCTTACTATATGGCTTGTGTTACGGCGCTTTAAAGGTGAGCAACACGTTGTATGTTTCCATCTTTAAGTCTATTCTTCCATATGAAGATTGTTTGATGTTTTTTACCTTAGGGCCACTTTCAGTATTTTCATGTTCTTCATATGTTAGGAATCATTCTCATTTCTGATTTATTTCAAATTTGAAAAGAATTTTCAATTTATCAATTTTAAGAAAAATCCTTTTCTATGCAATAATCATAGGCTAATATTTGCAACAGGTTGTTAAAATCTAGGCTGGTCTGGGATAGAAGTGAGTATGGTGACAACATATTATGACATTAATTTTGAAGTTAAGAATTTATGTATTATCCATATCAAGACTCTTAAAACTTAGAAAAACCAAGTTCTAGAACTTATTCTAGTAAAAAATTATGCTTTGAAATTTAATCTCATTATTGACTTAGAAGGACTGGCATGAACCTTATTAACTTCATTTTGGAAAGATTGTCACCAAACTATAAATATAAAGTTTCTCATAAGTAACTCAATTTTGCTAATATACATTTTATATATATAATGCAAAACAGTCAGACAATGGTAGGCTTTAATGCAATGTGAAATGTAACTCATAGCATTGTTCCTTGCTTTATATTTAATAGTATCTATGAAGTCCTTCCTTTGTGCCCAATATTATGCTAACCACTATATTTCTACTTTTTACATTGTTTGTATGTTAAGCTGTGATCAACAAGTCAGCCAACACTATCAGTAGATGATAATACTGGCAATAAGAGCAGAAATGTTGCAGGTATACAAACTCAGACATTACCTTAAGTAGCTGAAAGAGGCTTAAGGTAATTTTCCTAGGGTGACTTTTAACCAAAAAATTGGAAGACAAATGAAAAATTAAGCAGTTGTGGAGTTGTAGAGAAAGGGTGTTGTAAATTGTGTTGTGCATAGGAAACAGGAAATATGTGAATTGCTGGAGAGTTGGCTAATTGATGAGACCTAGAATGGTAAACATGGCTTATTGAAGAAATATTTTTTATTCTGAATGTGTTTGAATGAAGATGGAGGGCTATCAAAATATTTAAATAAGGAGAGAAAATTATCAGTGTTCATTTTAGAAAGGTTGTTTGATCCCCAGTGTGGAGATTGAAATAAATTAGCAGGAATGATGAAAAATGGGGAGAGTGTTAGGAGGCTGTAATCTGGCAGCAATGAGGGGCTTAAGTAAAACTAAATTCAGTGAGTGTGCTTGGGAACCCTGGATAAAGCGACAGAAACAGAATACAGAATAGGGCCTAGGATGACTTTTGGGTAGAGTTCAGTTTGAACAACTGTTTTGATACTAATGCATAACACTGAAAACTTGAACTTTGGTGAGGAAGGTTGTTGTTACATTTGGAAACCTGTATTTGTTGCTTCTTAGGGGTGTCTGGAGATAGGAGATAATGATAAAGTAGAATTCATCACAGAACTGAAGTATCAGAGAAAGATTGCTGATATCAATCAACAAAAGTTGTAAAGTATAGAACCATGGGGAATGCCAATATTTAAGCGTTAGAACTGATTTCCACAAAGGATATTTCAAAAGCAGTGAAATCTCAAAAAGTTTTATTGAATTTGGTAATTCATAGAATGTTGTTACCTTTAACAAAGGCAGCCTCTTTAGTGATTCTCCCATCCCAGATTCCACCGCAGTCATTTCCCTTGTACACCTGAATTTTTACCCATTTTCACTACACCTGACTGTTTACTTTATCGTCACTATAAAAATGCTATTCTTGGGCCCTCTCTGGTGGCACAGCGGGTTAAAGAACAGCACTGAGAAGCTAAAGCGACTTTAGCATGAGTTCGAACCCCACCACCTGGGAAGGATCCACATGGCGCTGCAGACCTCTCCTTGACCGGCCTGCTGCTCCCCTTAGCAGTGCACTTTGTCCATCAACCTGTTCTGCACCCTACTCTGTCTCTGGTGAATCCTCTCACTGCCCTTGCATTTCTGGCCTGTACCCCAGTTCTGTATGCACAAATAAATACATCTTTAAAAGAAAATGCTATTCTTACATATTTTCTCTTGCTTTGTTTTCTTTGGTATTTATTTCTTAATTTCAAGCTCTTGAAATTTTTTCTCAGCAAACTTAAACGTATCAGGAAGTAAAATGGCTTAAACCCTCTGTGCCTTAGTATCCTTATTTATAAACTGTGAGTTAATAGTATTTCTAAGGATCAGTTCACTCACATATGGAATATAGAGAAACGAAGCAGTGGAATAGAGAGAAACAAACCCTTGGATTCTGACTGAAGAACTGAGGTTTCCAGAGAGAGAAGGCATTGAAACAGAGAGTGAAGGGAGTCCAATGGACTGTGTAGAGGGTTATTGGTATTTTGGTGGTGGAGGCTGTGGTCGTATAAATTTGAAGAGGTGTGAGCCTGTGTATTTCTCAAACATCCATTACTTCATTTACATTTCTTCAGTTGCATTGAATTTTATTCAATTTAACTGAATTACTTCAATTACAGAACTTTTCTACATTTATATTACTTCACGTACAGAAAATTAAAAAGCAAGTTTTTGCAATAAATTCCCACTTGGCTCACCTTTCATTATCCCTTTTCAAATCCCCAGTGAGAGTCAATGGATTAGAATGGTTCTTACCTCACAGGTCATTTTAAGAACTGTCATCTATTCCTTGTATCACGATTGCCTACTCAGTGCAGTGTATCACACAGATAGCTGTAGGCAGAACAGACATGGCTCAGCCAACCACGTTTGGTTGGTCTTAGAAACTAGCTTTTGTGTGGCTTATTTCTGGGGTTATATGGTTCACTTATTTAAGAAGCACTGTGCAATGCTGATTATATAATGGTGTAGTATAGAGCAAGTCATCAAGTAGCACACCAGAAGACAACATTTTATTTTACCTAATGCATTATATCATATGTTTCCTTGTCCTGTATAACTACACCAAGTTATTTCATTTTGCAAAATGGTGAACACAGTTTACTATAAACTGAATACCACTTACAATCTCAACGATGTTGGAAGCAGCATGTAACTGAAGTAAATGTATTATTTATTCCTTGTGTATATAAATAGAGTTTTAGCACCAAAAGAAATCTGAGGATGGCCAAGCAGGTTGATTTATTAATAATTATAAATATATCTGAAATAAAGTACCGTTACCAGTAGGGGTAAAATTTAGTTGAATTCGAATTTATCTTTCTCCAAAATAACTGACTTACACAGGGTAATGGAATAGATTATAAATTAGAAGTAAACTGTTCTGTCAAACTTCTTTTTTTCCTCCAATAGGATTCCTGGGATGGTCAACATATTCCAGTACTTTTCTCCATTTTTTGTGGTTTGTTAGTGGCAATATCCTATCATCTCAGCAGGCAAAGCAGTGATCCATCAGTACTTTTGTAAGTGAAAAAAAAATCAATTGCTAATAAACTAATTTGTCATTTCTTTCAATTTTCAAATTCTGTTTTCCAGAGCCCTTTTGCTAAAGTGTTCTGATTTAATCTGTATTCAATTTCAAATGTTTCAATTAAGAAATTAACTTTGTTATATAGTTAATACTATACTAGACCTTGGTGGTAGGTATGATGCATACATTTGCCCAGGCATGAAACTGTAATCTTCCAACTCAACCTGTTGTAAGCCATGTTTACAAACCTCAATTAAAAAGGGAAAATAATTCTTTAACTCCAGTTTTACAACAAAAATTAGTTTTGAGTCATTCTGAATGCATTCACTGAAAGTATTTGTTAAATTTATCTCTCTGACTAGAAGAACTATAGTTAAAGAGTAAATAAAAATTCATTCACTGTATCCTTTATGGCATCTTAAACTTTTTAGGGGTTATTATTTATTAATGACTATATTATACTTAGATCACTTAGTTTTTTATGGTAAAATTTACTTGCCATTTAAAATGGTTATCAGGGTATATATGAATGTACTTATTTTATTTTTTTCTCTCTCTTTTTAATATAAAGCTCTTTGGTGCAATCCAAGATTTTTCCAAAAGCAGAAGATAAAAATCCAGAAGATCCTTTGTCTGAAGTAAAAGATCCACTGCCTGAAAAACTTAGAAATTCTGTTGTAAGTTTTAGCTTTTTCAAGTCATCTGAAAACTTAAATTTTTGACAGTTCACCATGTTACGTAACGAGTAAGTCTTTAGTAATTGGGAGAAAAGTATAGTTCCCCATGTAACCATGTAACCATATATTTTCTGCCCCGAGTGACACATACATACTATTATTGCCTTTACTTTAAAATGTGATTGTAAGATTTCTCAATCCTCAGACTTCATTTCAAGGAATAACAATATGGTAAATGGTCATTTGTAGATCAGGTGAAATTAAATTATTTCACTGTTTACAGTAATCCAGTTCAACTTAAACTAGAACTTGAAAGGTGAATATGATTATATATTAGATTGGTTTTGTTGTTAATGTTCTTATTGATTCAAATTATGTCCTTGTAAATTATCTGTGAGTGGTTCATAATATTTTATTTCTCAGGGGCATTAAGAAAGCATGTCTGTGTGTGTGTGTGTGTGTTCCAAGTTGAAGGAGAGAACAATAATAGTTTTAAATGACTAATTAATATATTTAAGTAAATATAGTAATTCTAAAAATTTTCTAAGAACATTTTAATGTTACCTCTATCCATTTAATAGTTACTTTAGATTCTGTAAGTTCATATCTGCTTTATAGAACAAAATAAAACATTCTTTTTCTAAGTTGCTTAAGATTATTTCCACTTGTGAAATATAGGTAGTTCTTGAATTATAGATACTTTTCGTTGAACTAGAACTGTTCACTTATTTTTAGAAAAAATTAGAATACAGGGTCCTCCTTGGTGGCACCAGGGGTTAAAGCACAGCTCTATGAAGCTATCGCCAGCCACTGCAGCACAAGTTCAATCTCTGGCCAGGGAGGACCCACATGGCGCAGCAGACCTCTCCTGTCCTGTCCACTGCTCCCCTCAGCAATTTATTTCATTTGATCTGCCTACTTTCACCACTCTGTCTCTGGTGAATTTTTTTACTCCCCCACCACTTCTGGCTTGTAACCCAGTTCTTGTATGCATAAAAAAAAAAAATTTTAGAATACAAACTTGCCTTAAGTTAGAACTAAAATAGTTTTATCTGACTTTAATTTCCATTTTAGTAAAGGATATTTCATGTTTCACACAGTAAATGTTTTCTGAATCTAGCTTCAAAATTTAAATTTGTACAAAGTACAGTTCAGCTGACAACCAAAGGTATGAAGAAATTTCTAGTTTTTGCTACAACCTCTAAAAGCATCAAAATCTTCTGAGTAAATGAAATAGGACATACACAAACTGTTTTAGTGTTTCAGAAGGCCAATGAAATACATAACATGTTCATCCTAAGGGATATATTCTGTAAATTATATAGTAAGTTTTGTTTTCTCTTCTCTGTAAAAGTAAAACTTGCTGAGGGTAGAATCTTTATCCATATGTTATATGGATATCCATGCCCACATGTTACATGTTGTATGTAAGCATCAGTAAATTTAATTTTATTTCCTTGGTATTGCAGTGTCAAATTAAAATATGAGTAAATTAAGGAAGACTGTAAGTCTCATTACTGCTGTTATGTGTAAGAAACATTATTGGTGCTAAAGAATAGGATAAGTGGAGAAATATTCTCAACCTTTGCCAGTTGGGCATGAAGAGAATATTTAGACAAGTCTTATGTATTGTTAAAGTACTTCTATTTTTTTTTCCAGAGCGAGCGTTTACAGTCTGACCTAGTAGTGTGCATTATAATGGGTGTGCTGTATTTTGCTATTCATGTAAGCACAGTATTCACAGTATTACAGGTAAGGAATTATTTTGTTCTTTAGGTTGAGGAAAAAGGATCCATTTCTAGTTATTGTAGTGTTTGTCCATAATGCTGTAAAGTGACTTGTTTTTTTTTTTAATAACAAGTACTTACTTCTTCATGAGGTCCCTGGGTCATGAATCTGGGAGTTGCTTAGTGGGGTGATACTAGCTGAGAGTGTTATGGTGCTGCAATAATAAGGTGCTGCAATAATAAGGAGCAGCTAACTGCAGCTGCTAGCGGCCCTCAGCCTCTTGCCTGACTGCTGGTTCCTCCTGGGTCTCACCACAGGCTGTCTCTGTGTCCTCTGGAAATGATAGCTGGTTCTTCTAGAGTCAGTGACCCTGGAGTAAGTTCAGCACAGATGCCCTAATCTTCTATGATTGATGTCCAGTGTGACACGCCGCCTTTTCTTCTGTATCTACTGATCATGAGTAGATACAAGCACGTATAAATACCAGGAAATGAGATCACGGGAACCACGTTGGACACTGACGACCACAGTGCACCCTCCTTTTGGCTTTAAGAGATCTTGGACCTCTTATTTAAATTTTCCCCATGATCATTATTTATTTAAATTTTTTTCTGTGTGTTTAATTTTAAATAATTTGTATTGCTCTAATTTTCATTTTACTAATTTTTCTTCTGTAATCTATAATCTGCTATTAATCCCATTCATTGTAGTTTTCATCTCAGGCCTTGCCATTTTCAGTTTTAGAACTTCATTGTGGTATATTTTTGTTGCTGTCTCTCATGTCTGTGTGTACTACTTTGAACAAAGTTTTAACTTTCTTACTGTCCTTGTATCCTTATTCTAACTTCAGTGTCACTTATGAGCTGATTTAGAATGGTTGATATTTCTCCTTCCTGATTCTTGGCATGTGTGGATGTGAAAGATTATATTTTTTTGTAGTTCTAGAAGTATTCTTGAACTTTCTTAAATGTATACACTGTTATTTGTTAATAATTTGATCCTTTTAGACCTCACTATTAAGGTTTGTTAGTTGGAACCAAGATTGTGTTTAATCCTTACAAGGCAGTACCCTTTTGAGTACTCAACCCAGTGACCTGTGAATCGAGAGCTTTCTAGTCTGAGTGTGGGAATTGGCACAATTCTTACTCTGTGTAAGTGCTGAGACTGTTCTCTAACCCTTTCATGTATTTCTTCTGGCCTCATGTAGGTTTCTCACATACATGTTTTGATTCCTGTAGATACACAAGGGGACCCTTGGCCTGTCTTCAAAATTCTCCATGCAGCTTTCCCTTTGGTATATTCTCTGTTCTGTGAACATTATTAGCATCTTTGCATCTTGGTCTCTTCATAGTCTCCACTCTGTCTTCTAAGTCAAGGGGGCACCAGGCCACTCATTGGCTACCTTCCCCAAACTGCAACTTGAACTCACTCTCAAGCTATAGACTGGGCGGTCCTAACACTGGTCTCTGTTTATTTTCTGTTTCCTTTCTCTCAGGGCTCAATATTTATCTCCTTATGTCTAGTGTACTACTAAACACCGATTCTTAAATATTATTCTCTTTCAGTTGCTTCATGTGGGAGAATAAATCCCTATTTTTCTTTTTCTTTTTGGCCAGAAGCAAAGCTTTCATCTTATTTAACATTTTTGCCTGTTTTTCTTCACTTTCAATCTGTACTATTAATTTTTGCACTCATAGCTAAGTGAGGTCCAGCGAGTCTCCCAGGCTCGCGTGGACACTCCTTCATACCCAGGAGACCCTGCAGCTTGCAGATAGAGTTATATGGGCTGTAGAAATGGTGTTGCTTGATTTCTTCTTTGTGAATTGGGTAATACATGAGAACTCTGTTCTAGTGGTATACCGTGTGAAAGCACAAAAAACATATTTTTTGTCCTGTTCTTCACACACATACACTGTTTTACTTTGCACATTATTCTCTATAGCTAAAATAATGTAAGAAATTTCTCTGTTAAGTAGGAAATCTTGGTGTAGCAAACAATACACCTCAGGCCTACCCTCATTCCATAATAGTGTGAGACAACAACAAAAGTAGTTTAAAAGATTTTGAAATGTCTATAATACTGGAATAGTCAAGGATTATGTTTTTTTGTTTTTTGTTTTTTTTTTTGCAGCAAATAAATGAGAAAAGTGCATAATATGGACATGTTTTCTGTAAACAGATATTTAGTTCCTAGATTCTAAAGTCGATGGACTTGTTTATTATCAATTATAAAATTGAACTGACAAATTGCAAGTTTTCTTGAGGGCCAGAAAACCACTTCAGATTTTCTCAACTTTCCTTTTCCCATAGCCTGCTCTCAAGTATGTGCTGTACGCGCTGGTTGGCTCTGTGGGCTTTGTAACCCATTACGTGCTGCCTCAAGTCAGGAAACAGCTACCTTGGCACTGCTTCTCTCACCCTCTGCTGAAGACGGGGGAGTACAGTCAGTATGAAGTTCGGAGTAAGTGTGTCGTTGACACTTCCCTTTGGAGCAGTGTAGATTTTTTTCTTTGTTGATAGACAACAGCTTTAAGTACCAAGTAGCACATTGGATTGTTTCTTGAACCCAGGTTTGAAACTGCAATATGTCACTTTGTGTGAATGCTTTAATTTTACTTGATATATAAATGTCAGTGCTTCAGTGCCAATTTTTCACTTAATAAAATTTATATTTTCTGCAGACGTATACCTGTGATACCTCTTTGCAAACCTTCCTCTTCCCTCATTTTACCTTGGCCTATGCAATATGAATTTGAAATACTTTTAACTCAAAGCTTAGGTAAAATAGATCTTTGTTCCTCTTTCTATCAGAGACAATATGTCATACAGAGCTTGGCATAAAAGATTTGATAAAGTGGAAAGAAATAAAAACATTTTGTAATTGTTGTTTGAGCAGATTTGGGATAAAGTATAAAATGACTCAAAAAAAAGCAGAAGACCAGTCTGCATAATATGGACATGTTATAGCTTGTTGCTTGCCACTTTGAATCCTGACTTTTCTTTCCTGTTTTAAGTATGTAGTCCTAGTTCGTAGGTCCTGTGACCTATAATATTCTATACTTTTTCATTTTAGAGCAATAATTAAAAGTTCAATACTATGTCATCTTTTATTACACACTAATGATTAAATAAGTCAGCATGTTTTTCCTCAGTTTTTTTTTTCCAGTTAGTGAATTTTGTGGAAAATAAATTATTTGAAGATCAATTAACTGGGGTAGAGAACTACGAAATATTTGAAAGCTATCTATACTGAACTGGTTTTATATTCCTAAAGAAAATTTTCTTGAGCCTTTTAGCAAAATTGAGAAAAGCATAATGGTATTATACACTTAATCATCAGTTTGATCCTGCAGAGATAATAAAGTAAACACTAAAGTGTAAGTTGCAGTAATATCACTGTGTAGACCTTTTACAAGGTATGTGCTCTTATTATTAAGATAAAATGACATAAAATTGTACTGGCCCATTCTTACCATCAGGGGTATAATTCAAATGAGTTATTTTTTGATGGTAAATTATTGGTAATGCTTTCATACATTAGTAATAGCAAGCATATCTGATTTGTTTTAAACCTCACCAGTTTTCATTCAAGTAAATCAATAAAAATGTTTAGTTTTGACTTTTAACAAAACATATAACTTAAATTTTTACAAATTCTGAACGAACATAACTTATATGGCTTATGAAAGTGCTAGATATTATCAAAATAGATATTTCCCCCTTCTACTGATTTTAGCAACTGAAAGTAGAATGTTCATTTGAATACTTCCTACAGCCAAGTCACATTGCTTTCAAGTAGCCGAAGAATCTTATTTAAATCTTTCGATTTACCTAGACACTTTCCCCAAAGAAATCGTATTAGAAGAAATATTACTGACTATGAAAATGAATGTAATGAAGTGTGTGAATTCGTGACATAATCATACTTGCATATTGTTCTGAGATGTTGCTTTGTCCATATGTGTGTGTCTCTGTGTGTGAGTATGTGTGTGTATGAGAAACTTAAAAACAGATATTTTAATCAGTCATTTATTTCTTTTGGGGGAGAGGGGATCTAATAATCTTCAGAAATCTTTCTGCAAAGTTATAGACATGACTAATAAAAAGTTAAGGTTAAAAACTAAGGTTTCAAAAGTTAAAGTTTAAAGTAAAATCAAAGACTAAGTCACACATTTGCAAATTTAAATGTATCTCAGATTCATAGAACATTAACTTGATTGAAATATTGAATTTCTTAGATTATTTATAGTATAGGTGAATTTGAATTTGTTTCACTTTCTCAGCACATTGTCAAACTGTCTTATACATTTAGATTACATGTGGTCTTGAATTATATTGCCTTGTTAGATGCAGCCACTATGATGTGGTTTGAGAAACTTCATGTGTGGCTTCTTTTTGTGGAAAAGAATATCATCTATCCATTGATTGTTCTGAATGAACTTAGTAGCAGTGCAGAGACTATTGCTAGCCCAAAAAAACTGGATACAGAGTAAGTACAATCCTTTTCTAATCTATGCTTTACTACTGGGGGATATAAGTCATAACTGAATTACTGAGCAAATAAGCAATTATTGTCTTTTTGATCTAAGGCACTGTAAGAAATAATTAACATGAAATTTGTCTTAAAAAATGAATTTTATTTTTAATATTCCTCGGTACATTTAGGAGATGGCTATTTTTGTGTAGTATGTAAATCACACCATGTAATGATTATTTTGGTATACTACAAATCACGCCACATAGTGCTATATAACTGAACAGTTGCCTGTCAGTCATCCTGTATGCTTACCCACTAAAATAGGTACATGTTACTGGGTAAGCATTAATATGTTTTTCATGTGCCAAATGCAACTGATATTAAAGCAATAGAAATATTTTTTTAAGATTTATTTATGCATACAGAACTGGGGTATAGGCCAGAGGTGCAGGGGTGTTGAGAGGATTCACCAGAGACAGAATGGGGAGCAAAACAGGCAGATGAATGAAGTACATTGCTGGAGGAGCAGCGGGCAAGACAGGGGTCACCTTGTGGGTCACCTTGTGGGTCACCTCCAAGGCCAAGGATTGAACTCTCATTGAAGCGGCTGCAGCTAGCTTGCAGTGCTGTGTTCTAACCTGTTGCGCTACAAAGGAGGGCCCAGCAATAGAAATATTAAGAAATTGGAACCAAATAATATTGTTACTTTTTAAAAACATGTTTACAGGGCCCTTCTTGGTAGCCTAAGGGTTAAGTCTCAGCAAAAACACTGTGACATCCTGAATTTGATCCCCAACCAGGTCGCTAACCCATATATGGCACCATTCCTGTCTCACCTGTTGCTCTCCTTAGCAGTGTATTTCAGTAGATCTAGCTGTTCAGTCCCCCGCTTTTGTCTCTGGTGAATCCTCTCACCCCCCACACCTCTGGCCTATACCCGTTCTTCTGTGCAAAAATGAATAAATAAATAACAAAACATGGTTACAAATATTAAGAATCCATAGCACATTATTAAAAAGGACTATTATAATAGTTTACTTTAGGATGTAATTAGCCCTCTAAATTATTTTTAGATGTTTAAACTTGATTTATATTTAGCACATTAAATGATAATTTTTCTGAAGTTAATAGATTTTCTGAAGTTTTCAGTCACTGATGAATTGTGTTTTCTTTAAATATAGATTAGGTGCTTTAATGATCACCATTGCTGGTCTGAAGTTGCTACGATCCTCTTTTAGCAGCCCGACATACCAGTATGTCACAGTCATCTTTACTGTGCTCTTTTTCAAGATTGACTATGTAGCTTACTCAGAGACTATGCTTTTGGATCTCTTCTTCATGTCCATTCTCTTCAACAAGGTAACTTACCACAGAAAGGAATAGCCTTACCTATAAAAAAATTTCCCTAAGTAACACACCATTTTAGTGCGGATTATGCTATCATTTGCTTTATTATAGTATCTTTTGTCAGTCATCCAGTTATTTAGGAGCACATTAGAATCCTTAATGCTAGTCACTGGGATTCACAAAAGAATGTTTCATGCTATAGCTAGGAGATAAGACTAAATTACATAGAAAAATTAAGGAAACTAATAAATAGATATGGTTAAGTAGTTCGGGTCTTCCAAAAGGGAATGTGGTTTTGAATAATTTTAAAAATAGTTGTGGTTATAATTTAATTGGGCTGTGTGCTTTTGGATAGATGGAGGGAAGAAATAACCGGATAGCTAACTGAAGGTAGTAGATACTAGGGCAGTGTGGCCATATGGGAACAATCAGAAATTAGTGTGATGATGACATTTGTGGACTGCTCTGAAATTTACAGAATGCTTTTAAAATCTGTTATGCACCCATAATATAGGAGCTCTTAGTCCTTTTACAAATGAGATGACAAAATGTGGGACTTCTGCCTCCCATTCCAAGATTTTCTTTTTGTTAAACCACATTGCCTTTCTAAATGAAATATATTATGCAGTCAAGATTATTTGTAAATGAAATAGAGTTTAGAATTCATGTTAACAGTGACCACATGCAAAGGACTTTGACATATATTAATTATCCTATTTGATAGGTAACAGAGAGCTGAAGCATATGAGCAGCTACAAAACACAATGAATGCCCAATGTTAGGAAAGTTAGCCTGGTCAGCCACATTTGGGATGAATTGGGGAAGAGAGAACCTAAAGGTATGGAGAACAGTTTAAGAGATTATGATAGTAATTTAGATGTGATAGAGGTCACCTAATTTGGGAAGATGACAAATGGAAGGTGTCAGTCTGAACAAGGTCTTATTGATGCCCAGGTTCAAAATACTGTGATAAATGTTGTAACAAGTAACTTTTAAAATGTGGCAGTATTTTATGTGTTCAGTCACTAATTTGTGTGCATTTTGATAATTTCTTCTTCAAGTAAGCGTGGTTAACCAAAGGAAGAAGTCAAGTTAATCAGAGAATTGTTTATATAAAGGATCATATGGTCTCTACAAATTTAAATATCTAGATTGACAATTGTATTTCATTTGATTATACTAATTGAAAAAAGCATAAGTTGTAGCTAAGTATTGACTAATCAGTCCTTGAAGTAGTCTTTTTAATAGTCAATTAATTCTGATAAATTTGGATTTTCTTAACACTTTTGTTTGTTAAACAAATTGTTTCTTTTGAGAACATGTCAAGTTCCAGAATTGTCCTAGAGGCTTAGGTTATGTCAAGGAAGAAAATGCCCTTAAATTGTTTGCATTTTATATCATCACTTGATAGAATTTCTCAGTGATAATAAACAAGTACTAGTCAAAGGATCTCCTTAGACATATTAATACTGTAAGATATCACTGTAAGATATACCATTGATGGCAGTCTTCCAAGAAAAAATTAACTCAGTATACCGAAAAGTGTTTTTACCCACTATATAGCTATATAAAATGTGTCATTTTTTCCAACATTACAGTCATAGCTTGAGTACATTCTGTTTTGCATTTAAGTCTGAAGTATTTTCGGAATGATTGCATTTAAGCGGTTATGATGGCAGCTTGATAATATACTTTCTGCTTTCACTTGTCATCCTGATCACACTAATGCTGAGGATTTGCCTGTCAAAGAAGACGAGTTTATCTGCAGTTTCTAATTGTTTGAAATCATGATTTCTTTGTTACAAAGAAACTAAGTAAGTTCTTTGTCAGGTAGCAGAATTTTAGATTTAAAGATAAGGTATTTGGTGCCTTAATCACTCAACTGAATTAGTCAGGACCTCTTGGTTTTAAGACGCTGGGATATGCTTTATGAATTGTCTCCAGTATCCTACATGTAGAAGCACCCTTGGGCAAACACAGTAATTCTGTTTTTGGTATTGAAGATACTGAAGCACAACCTAATTTAAATAAGTCTAAATGTGTATTTTATTTCCAATGACAATAACAATTGATGAGCAAATGCCTAATACATACACACTAAATTTTTAGGCAAACAGGCAGTGATGGCTGTTAAAACCTTTATCGCCTGCCTAGTTGGTTTCATATTCCTTTTGATACTGCATTTGAAGCAGTCAGTTTCCAAAACACTAACATTTGGGAAAAATGTGTTTTAGAATAAATGTTTATTTGTATTTTTTAAGTTTACAAACATCTAGATATCTTCACTTTGTTTTGCTTGTAGTAGTAATAATATGGCCAATAGAGGGCATAGACGTTTTTTAAACAGATGAAACAAATCCACAAATCAGCTGTCTCTACTTAAAATTATATATGCAGTGCTGGTAGTGGATATAGCTTTTCATTTTATGCAAGTGGCACATAATCTCAATGATGTTTCCCTATTAGAAAGAAATATATTTTAGGGCATCTTTCATCTTTCATTTTTTTTTTTTAACTTCAAATAAGTAACTGATGGGTTTCTTACTGACTTTTTTCCTTTTCCTTCTACAGCTTTGGGAGCTCCTTTATAAATTACAGTTTGTGTACACCTACATTGCCCCATGGCAGATTACCTGGGGTTCTGCTTTCCATGCCTTTGCTCAACCTTTTGCAGTGCCCCGTATCCTTCTAATTAAATCCCTGTAGAAACGGGCAATATTGCCCTTCAGGAGAATGTTGGTTTGTAAGCATAACTTCTCACAGGCTTAGAATATATATCACTAGGTGACAAATTATCAAAATTTTACAATCTATACCCACACAGATTCTGCTTGTTTCCCTTGTATAAACATCAGTGCTCACAGATCACTTAAATCTGAGCAAAGTCTCAATGTTTTATAACTAAGTAAGCATTACTTAAAACTTTACATATATAATTAAAGTCCAGGAATTTTTGATATGTGGCATACAAAATGTGTTTAGAAATATTTTTAAACAAATGAAGATGTGAAACTTTTTGATCTGCATAGGATTTTAGCTAAACTTTACCTCCAATTTCTATTCTGAGTAAAAGTAAAGGTTAGTAACCACATCAATGTTAAATGCAGACTTTTTATTACTGTAAATTTTAGCCTTAATCTCCTGAAAAATTAAATACAAGTATCTACCTAAGAATGACACATGGACTTTTACTAAGTACCTTCTGGCAAATATTTACTTGGTTCTCTTCACATCAGGACGCAGGCGTGTGCTTTCTTGACTGTGTCTTTGTGTGCTGACCTCTCCCCTCCAGCTGTGCCCTCTCATGAAGGCCTTTATTCACTGCTATAGTTGCAGTGTCATGCTGTGGCTTTGTGCGTATGTGTTGTGTGTATGTGCATGCACTCAGGAATGCTGAAATCCTTGACAGTTTTCCCAAAGATTCAGCCATGCTGTTTGTACAGGCTGCTGTATCGGCCTTCTTTTCCACTCCACTAAACCCTTTCCTGGGAAGTGCAATATTCATCACTTCATACGTTCGGCCTGTGAAATTCTGGGAAAGAGACTATAAGTGAGTACAACAAAATACCTGAATTTATTTTTACTGAAAAAACTATTGACAACATTATTATAAGTAATAAATTTTAGTGATTTTGCAAAAATTCTTAAACTCTTAAAAGTTATAAAGTTAGAAGACTAAGAAAAATTCTTTTCTCTACCTTTTTTCTATTAATAAAAATGTTTTAAAACATACTTGTAATTTAATTTACTCATTTTTCTCTTTTAATGCTATTTTTTAGGATTGTTCTGTGTTAACAGTACCCTGAAACTTTATGATACATATTTCATCATTATAATAGCCATTAACTTTCTCAAAGTTTTTTGGAAATAACTGTTTCTTTAGCTAGACTTTTGATAGGTTGTTCTGATTTTTTTTTAATGAGGATACATTTTTAATGAACATCTTTGCACATAAAGTCTTTTCTCTATGTTTAATTCCTTAGGCTGGTTGTTTAATGTTTAGTAACTATCTTTGTAATCTCTCCACATTTTTTTTTTTAATTAAAATAAATTCTTAAAGAATCAGGGTTAGGGAGTTTAAACATTCAATAGTTTTGAGTGGGTGCTAACATTGATTCACAAAACAGCTTACAGTGGTTTATATTTCTATGCTTCCTGTGACTGCCTTTCTTTTAACTATTTTAGACTTGGCACTTGTAATAGGTGAAAATGGTAATCTTAAATTTTATACAGTCAGTTAACTTGTAGTTTCGAAATTTTCATTCTGGTCTTTTTTTTTTTTATCAAAACTCAAGTGATGATTTCCTTTTTGTTGAATGTAAGTAATAGTCACATCCTATTCTTTTTTTCTGCGCTGGCTTAAATTCCAAGATAATGTTCTATGCCAGAAGTATTTAAACTTCTTTTGTCTTGGAGCCCCTTTGTAATCCTAAATATTATTGAAGTCTTCAAAGAATTTTTTATATGGACTTTATCTACCAGTGTTTACTGTGTTAGAACTCAAAACTCAGAATATTTTAAATGATTACTGACTAATTTTATAATAACAATAACACTAATAATAAAGGAACCCATGAAATATTCATATAAATAACATTTTGTAAGGATAATAACTGCATTTTCCATCCCACCAAAGAGAAGAAAGCTATTATTTTTGTAGTTTTATACATCTTTTATGTTTTCTTTTCTAAAAGACAGATTTTCATATCTCTGCATTCAATCTCTTACAATATGTTGTTTTGGTTAAAATAAATGAAGAAAATCTGATCTACACAGATATGTAGCTGAAAAAGTATTTTAATAGCTTTTTTCAGATTATTGTGGCTATTCTTTGGTCCTTAGGTCAAAGTCAATAAATAGTAGTTTCCTAAGGATTAATTGCGTCTAGTCTAATGAAATCTAAAACTACATCTGAATTTTTGGGACTGTTACTTCACAATCCACTAATAGACTATACTTTGAGAGACTCTTTCACCCATACATACATATTCTTATAACATCATATCTACCAATAATTTAGAAAATATTGGTTCACTCCGTAATATAGATCTTTCAGTATGATATTAAAATATATATATACATATATAGTCATTCATATCACTACTAATCTCAAAAGAAACATTTTAAGTACTGGGAAGCTATCAAACTCGTGGTGGTAGATGTGTTTCTCAAAGTTATGATTTTTCTTGAGAATTTGATTTGTATTATTGGCAGCAGATACTGTCAGTTGTTTTCCATGAAATGACATGCTCACTCCATTTTTGAGAAATGTATTTGCTAAATATCCAAGTTTGAATTATTTTACTTTGTCAACTATAAATGAAAGAATTCCATGAATAAAAGAAGTGAATGCTGCTTGCAATTCTAACTGTTGCGTAAACGCTTTCCCTTGGGGATGGCCCCTCTTCATCCTGCCATCCTGCTTCAGAAGCAGCACTTCTTTGCCATACAAAACTTCAGAATACATGTATTGCGGGGGGAGCACTTTAATAGAGTTAATACTTTTGCTTTGTTTTTAACAAAATTAGATTTTTCCTTGTGCTGGAGTGGTAGTGAAAAATACATGGTTCTATGCCATGATTCATGTTAAAACCAGTAATCTTAACTGTTTTTTTTTTTTTTTTTTTTTTTTTTGCATCCTCAGTGCAGTTGTGAGCATAGTAATTAAAGACAAATAACACCTCAGTGTCACTATGGAAACAGTTTTAATCTGGAAAACTCTGAAAAGTTCTTGAGTACCTGTATTGTGTTCCTTGGGCCACAGTTTAGAAACCACTGTTCTAAAGAGCACTGTACCATTAATAATTAACAGATGTGTGTTCCTCTTGTAAAGACTGCTTCATGCACTGTCTGCTCCTAAGATTTTTATACACTTCGTAATTTTTTTTTTATCCTCATCACGTTTTTTTTTCTTATATTAGAGTCATTGATGTCCTTCACACTACTCAGTGGAACACCAGTTAGGAAAAACTGCTGTTTAAGTATGATGGAGGTGAAAGAGTAAAATAAAATCCTTACATACTAAAATTGTGCTAACCAGGAATTTTATCAATTTGACAATCATTGGTTTCTCCTGGAGATTTTCATAAAGTGAAGTGATAATACTTACTTTATATTGTGTTGTTTACTCCTTTTAAAATAGTAAACATGTTTTAAATATAAAAAGGTTTGCTAAAATGTTTTCTTTTGCCTCTTTTAGCACAAAACGAGTGGATCATTCAAATACCAGGTTGGCTTCTCAGCTTGATAGAAATCCAGGTAATAGCTCTATTTGTGAACAAAGTAAATTTAAAGAGTTTATTTTACACACCTACACACACATTTATGTTTATACACATACATATATATTTTGAAAAATTTCACTCCCATATTTTAGGAATCCTCTGTGGATTCCAGATGTTCATAAATTTTATATTTTAAAGATTTATTTATTTATGCATACAGAACTGGGGTACAGGCCAGAGGTGCAGGGGCAGTGAGAGGATTCACCAGAGACAGAGTGGGGAGCAGGACAGGTAGGTCAATGAAGTACACCGCTGAGGGGAGCAGCTGGCGGGTCAGGAGAGGTCTACTGCACCATGGGGACAGGGAACTTGCAGCCAAGCAGCCTTTGCCAGCGTCACCCATGTGCTTTAACCCATTGAGCCACCAGGGAGGACCTAGGTTTACTTTTGTAACAGGCAAACAGAGTACTAAAACAGAGCCCTTTTATTGACATTAAGAGTCTGGGTTCCGTTTTCTTAATAATTATTTTCTTAATTATTTTGAGTTGAACCTAATTTTAAAAATTATTACTATATTTTATTATTTAGTTAGGCTGAACTTAAAATCATATTAAGCTCTGTATATTTTGTCTTTCTTTTAATACTATTGTCTTGACACCCATTTACAGACTAATGCTTTGGATATGTTACTTCTAGATATAGTCATCTCATTTATTTGGTGGTGCTTTGTCTTAGTTTTTTTTTTTTTCTTAAAGGGCGATTTAGGTTCTTTGCTGTTGTTTCTGTGTATACAGTTTATTTCTACCAAGTTAACAGTCATCTCAATATGCAGGGCTTTTCTTGAATGACTAACTTATTTTTGTTTTATACTGTCTTGTTCAAGTCTTGTACTACATTACTCACTTCCTCTATAGTATGTCGTTTTGTTCTGTTTGCAGTTTTCTTTTATCATTTTCATTTCTCTGGTGTGGTTTTAATTATAAGGCATAGTTTATTGAATATTGATAGAAAAGAATATGAAGTATTAAAATGTTGGAAAGTACTGTAGATTTCATCTAATCCATGCCTATATTTTATGGATGAGATTCTGCAGAGATTCAGAAAGATTACATGGCTTCTGATGCTAAATTTTTAAACTTTACACATTACCTTTCATTTCACTTTTATATAGAAATGGTAAGGGTTTCAATATTAATTTCCTGTCAAAAAAAATAGATGCAAGTGTAACTGGAAATTAGTTTTAAAATTTTAAAACAATCTTGTTTGTTGATATAAAAGGGTCTTAAGATAAAGTTTAACATTTTTCAATCCCTTCTCATAGGATCAGATGACAACAATCTGAATTCCATCTTTTATGAACACTTAACCAGATCCCTGCAACACAGTCTATGTGGGGATTTGCTCCTCGGACGGTGGGGAAACTACAGCACAGGGGACTGTTTCATTCTTGCCTCTGACTACCTCAATGCACTAGTGCACCTTATAGAGATCGGCAATGGGCTGGTCACTTTCCAGCTGCGAGGACTTGAATTCAGAGGTGAGACACTCATTTTCCTTTCATTTGTATAATGTTTTTCTGTGACATCTAAGTTTATGTGTTTATATCTCAAGTCAAAAGTTATAAATTAAATATTTGGAGTTGTAAGCAAAGTTGTTAAAGAGTAATTTTTAGATATTTTCCCCCAGATTTAATATTCAGAGAAGCATTTTTATGGTGGCTAGTGTTTGGAAAGATCGTAATTGCTATCTAACTGGCTTGCTTTCCTGGTGATGCTTTTTTGTTGTTTTGTGCTTGCCCTTGCCAGTTTCCTTTTGTGACCAGTCCAAGACATAAGATGCTATTTTTATGAGGCAGATATACTTAGCCAAGCTACTTTCATTTAAATGCCATGTTCTCAGTTTTTTATTAAGGTGAAAATTTATAAATCATGAAATTAAAAACTTAAAGATAAAACAAATCAGTGGCATTTAGTACATTCACAATATTGTGTAACTACTACCTGTTTAGTTTCAAGTCATCTTCATCACCCCCAATATAAAACCCCTCACCCATAAGCCCATCTCTTAATTCTCCCATCAGCCTTCAGTAATGTTATATATGACAAATGAAGCTATTTTTTACACAGAAAATCAGACACTGAAAACCATTTATTTGATATAATCACCTGTTGTAATTCAAATATTTTATAAGCATGATTCAAAAATTGTTTTTAAGGAATTGGAGGAAGTCCTGTTAATGCATATTCTTTTACTCTATAGAGTCCATTATGACTGAACTTCTAGAGAGAGTGTCCATGATATGTTTTGATCTAGTTCTCTTTTTTAAAAATTTATTTATTTATGCATACAGAACTGGTGTACAGGCCAGAGGTGTGGGGGATGAGAGGATTCACCAGAGAGAGAGCAGGGAGCAGAACAGGCAGAGTGACTGAATACACTGCTGAGGGGAGCAGCTGGCAGGTCAGGACAGGACTGCTGTGCCATGTGGGTCAGCTCCCCAGGGTGGGGAGGCAGTGAGGGGGCTATCGAACTTGGGCTCTCGTGGCTGGGATAGCTTCATAGTGCTTTGCTTTAATCTGCTGCGCCACCAAGGAGGGCCCTTGGTCTAGTTCTAAGTACATTAGGTATTTTTCACCTGGAAGAGCCAAGTCAGATCTATACCTATAACTTTCACTTCTCCCGGTTATAATCAGAAGACTGGACCTTCATTATTCAGTGAATGCTGAATTTTAAGTGGTATTAAATTAATTTTTTAATCAGTTTCTTACAGGTCTTGGTTAAACTAACCCTTAATATTTTTTCACATTTTTATTTTACTGATTTTCTCAAGGTTCTTTTCTGGGTAAATTTTATATCAACAGCTTGAGCTACCAGTTTGTCTATCAAAAATTTTTATTAGAATTTCTATAATTGTAACATTGGTACATGCTACTTCTACCAAGAATGGTTTTCTGCATCAAACTTAATAAGTCAAAAACTTGATATGCTAACAGGATTCCTTTTAATTTCTACTCAGATTAATTTTAAGGTAGCTAGTTTTCATACTTAGTTCTTTTAAAGATTTATTTATTCATGTATACAGAACTGGGGTACAGGCCAGAGGTGCAGGGGTGATGAGAGGACTCACCAGAGACAGAGCAGGGAGCAGAACAGGCAGATCAAGGAAGTACACTGCTGAGGGGAGCAGTGGGTGGGTCAGGAGAGATCTGCCACGCTATGTGGGTCACCTCTGGGGCAAGGATCAAACTCATGCTGAAGTGTCTTTAGCTTCTCAGTGCTGTGCTTTCACCCTCTGCACCACTAGGGAGGACCCCCCATACTTATTTTTTTTTTTTTATGCACACAGAACTGGTGGACAGGCCAGAGGTGCAGGGGTGGCAAGAGGCTTCACCAGAGACAGAATGGGGAACAGAACAGGCAGATGGATGAAGTTCACTGCTGAGGGGAGCAGCAGGCGGGTCAGGAGAGGTCTGCCATGCTGTGTGGTCACCTCCAGGGCAGGCGGGAATCAAACACATGCGGAAGTGGCTTTAGCTTCTCAGTGCAGTGCTTTAACCTGCTGCGCCACCAGGGAGGGCCCCGCCCCATACTTATTTTTAACACTAGAATTCACTGTGAGGTGAATAAAGATCTACTTAACCCTGGAAGTAATTGGCAGTACTAGTTCCCTTATAGTCATTTGTTTTCAATATTATTGTTAATTCCTGTATTTATCATTAACGTCATTTTTTTAAACAGAATATATTACTAGGATATGTTGTAGTAAGAAAATATTCTTGGGTTTTGAATGGTAGAATAAAAACATCCTACTTGAAATCAGTTACTGTTTATTCTGCTATTCTAATCAAGTGCTTCATTCTGTCTCTCCTCAGCAAATGTGAAAACCTCCAAATTCTTATATGTCTTCTCAGATACTACTACAAAGAGAGCTGTAGCTCTCATGTTTATTTTGCTTAAAACCTTTCACTGACTTCCCAGAAAGATGACAAAACATACTAAATAAAGGACTAACACATACAACCTAAGGAATAGATATAACTTCTTACCCTAATTTAAAAAATCTAGGAATTTTAAAAAATCAGGAAGTTTTTTCAAGAAGTGAAATAGTTCTCCTGCCCTCTGTAATCTATTCTAGCACATGAGTAAGAAAGGAAAATTTCGCAAGACGTCTTAGAAAACCAGTGTAATACTGATGTCAAAATATGACTTAACTGGCTGACTAACTACAGTTTAGTGCACTTATATAGATGCAAAAAGTCTTCAACCCAGAAAAAGCAAAATACTTTAAGTACTTCTCAACAATTCAAACATTTCTCACCTTGGAAATTAATTATTAAAAGGCAAATAAAGAGCACTAATTTTTTTTTGGTTGCTGAGTAATATTCCATTGTGTATATGTACTACATCTTTTTAATCCCGTCATCTACTTTTGGGCATTTGGGCTGCTTCCATGTTTTTCCAATTGTAAATAAAGCAGCAATAAATATGAGGGTGCAGGTATCTTTTTTGGGGTAGATACCTAGGAGTGGGATTGCTGGGTCATAGTTAAGCTCCATGTTGAGCAGTTTGAGGAACCTCTAAACAGTTTTCCATAGTGGTTGTATTAGTTTGCATTCCCACCAGCAGTGCAGGAGAGTTCCTTTTTCTCCACATCCTTGTCAACATTTGTTGTTGCTAGTTGTTTGAAGATGTGTCATTCTCACTGGGGTGAGGTGGTATCTCATTGTGGTTTTAATTTGCATCTCCCGTATTACAAGTGATGTTGAAGATTTTTCATGTGCTTGTTGGCCATCTGCATTTCCTCTTTGGAGAAGTGTCTTTTTAGTTCTTCTGCCCATTTTTTGATGGGGTTGTTTATTTTTGTTAAGTTTCATAAGTTCTCTGTATATGTTTGTGATCAATCCTTTATCACAAATTTTGTGTGAGAAAATTTTTTCCCAATTAGTGGGCTGTCTGTTTTTTGTAATGTCTCTTTTGCTGTACAGAAGCTCTTTAACTTGATGTAGTCCCATCTATTTATCCTTGCCTTCACTATCATGGCATTGGGAAAGAACACTAATTTTAAATAGATCTCAGGAGAAAAACAATATAATATGATCGTCTCAAAAGATATCACAAGGCATTTAATTAAATTTCACTTCACTTTTTGGTTTGAAAAATACTTTACACAATATACACATCTTTTTTCTGAAGAAAATGTCTGTGTATACTATGTACATTTAACTAAACAAATTAAAATGTGTACTGGTCAGTCAACCCAGTAAGTTTTCCTGTTAATGCCAAGGTCAAGACAGGATTTCTCTTGTCTCCATTATATAATGTATTTGGAAGTGTTTGCTGGCATGATTATATAAGAAAGTGCGACAACAGGCCCTCCCTCGTGGTGCAGCAGGTTAAAGCACAGCACTAAGAAGCTAAAGCCACTTCCGTATGAGTTTGATTCCTGCCTGCCCCAGAGGTGACCACATGGCGTGGCAGACCTCTCCTGACCCGCCCGCTGCTCCCCTCAGCAGTGTACTTCGTCGATCTGTCTGTTCTGCTCCCCACTCTGTCTCTGGTGAAGCCTCTTGCCGCTCCTGAGCCTCTGGCCTGTACCCCAGTTCTGTATGCACAAATAAATAAATCTTTAAAAAAAAATGTGCGACAACATAATTATTGAGGTTTCTAGAGGACCAAATAATAAGTTCATTAGCATGCCCAAGCTTACCTGTGTAGCCTTGTCTTTCATCATAGCACCCTTAACTGGGCCTAAATTTCATGGCATCTTTTTCTCTCAAAGCAGTTTTTTTTCAAACATGGGTAGTATAATATTCCCTCTAAAGGAAAATATTGCACATTCCCACTTATTATAATGTAACTTAAACATGTGCCTTTATAAAAATTAAGTATAGTCATTTTCTAGACCTTATATAAGCAATTTACAAATTAAATGGAAGCAAGACCATAGAACAAGAAAAAATTAACATTATTGTGATTAATTATATTTTGGTGGCACACGATTGTAAAGTTAATCTAATTTTATATTTTTATTGCAATAACACTAATATAGGGAAGCCTGTAAGTATCTTGTATCAATGAATGTAATGTCAAAGAATTACTTGGCAGTCTATAGAATAATTAGATCTCATACCTAATTGAAACCTTAAATGTCAGTAATGAAATCTTACTGATTATTATTAGAATTATCAATAAAAGCTTTTAATTGTGCATTAATATTAAATTATAATGAACTATTATAAGCTAGTTACCCAAATTAGCAGGTTTTATGTAATTTTGGTGTACAGAATGGACATGATGCTGGTGATTTAAGCTCAGATTCTTTTGAGTTCTGCATGCCAGTCTGTATTTTTTGTGGGATGATTCCACCTTTATTCTTCTCAAAATTTCATGAGATGAACCTTTATTCACCTCATTTGAATATATTGTAAATCCAAATTTGAAAAGCTTGGGAACTGATGAATCAAAATTAAGGTTATATTACTGCACAAGTTCCAAAACGTTGAGTGTGCTAATGCATACTGATTCTGCAGGAGAGGAATATATGTATGCCTGATTTCTGGAGCTTGGTACAGTTTGTTAATGAACGTTCTAAGGCAAATCAACCACATATTTTCAGTCCCTATAAAAGGTGCCTTTTGTCTTTGAAGTATTCCTTTTTCTACTTAGTGGTAATGTTCTCTATCTTTTTAAGGTACTTATTGTCAACAGCGGGAAGTAGAAGCCATTACTGAAGGTGTTGAAGAAGATGAAGGATTTTGCTGTTGTGAACCTGGCCATATTCCTCATGTGCTTTCATTTAATGCTGCATTTAGCCAGCGCTGGCTAGCTTGGGAAGTGATAGTCACTAAGTATATCTTGGAGGGTTATAGTATCACTGACAACAGTGCTGCCTCTATGCTTCAAGTCTTTGATCTTCGGAAAGTGCTAACTACTTACTATGTTAAGGTAAGGGAATCTGCCTACTTAGATCTTCTGATTATCAGAGATTCTTCTTGGAAAATGACTCTCATGTGTATTGCGTGCATACACATAGATGTTTTTAAATGTTTGCTTTGCTTCTAATATCTAATGTGTTAGATATTGTGCCAAGAATTACCTATACTTATGCACATACATGCACATTTATGTATCTTGCCTAAATTTCTAAAGGAATATTGTATTTCTTGTTTTTTTTTTTTTTTTTTTTTTTTAGGATTCATTTATTTATACATACAGGGACTAGGATACAAGTGAGAGAATTCACCAGAGACAGAGTGGGGGCCAGGATAGGAGGATTAACTTAAATACACTGCTGAGGGGACCAGCAGGTGAGACAGGAGAGGTCTGTCTGCTGTGTCATGTGGATCACCCCCATGGCTGGAGATCAGACTCATGATGCAGTGGCTGCAGTGGTTAAGATTTATTACATTGGAAGCTTCACAGTGCTGAGACTTAACTCCTTGTGCCACCAGGAAGGCCCTGCACTCCTATTTTACAAATCTTGCAAATTAAGTATTAGAGTTAACTTTCCCAGAGTCATGTTATTGCAAGTGGACCTAAGAATTTAAAACCCAGATTTTTCTGAATCCTCAGCCCTGCTATTAAAGACTGAAAAAAATACCACAAGATTCAAGGCCAACCTTAATTGTAATACCAACTGTAATTTCACAGTTCCCAAGATCACTCTCAGGTTCAGTAATTTACTTGCAGAATTCATAGAATATAGCAAAGCCAATACACTGATGGTTAAGATTTATTACATTGGAAGGATATAAATTAAAGTCACTCAAAGGGAGAGGCATTCAGGCCAGGGTCCAGAGACACCAAGAGGTAAACTTCTAGCTGTTACTTCTTGCACTGAAATTGTCCAGGCAGTGGATATTTCTCCCCAAAACTGTGTGTGACAAGACTTGTGAAATATTACCAGCCTAGGAAGGAAGCTCCCAGAGGTTCAACATGCAGAGTTTTTATTGATGTGTAGTCACTTAGATGTGGCTGACCATCCATCCATCCTTAGTCTTTAGCACCTCCAGAAGTCAAATTGATAACACAGGGCTCTAAGGCCTCAGGTGAAGACTCTTACTAAGACAGGGCATATCAAGGGATTAGACGTTACCTCCTGTGTAGAAAGACAAACCTCTCTTTTGGCAAGGTTATTTCTTTTTGGCACGGGTATTCTATTTTTGCTAAAAACTTCACAGAAATGTAAGATGGCCATCATTAGAATATTTGCAGGTGAGGCCATTATTTCAAGAGGGATATATATGCTAAACTGTATTGACCCAAATCTGATTTTTCCATAGCTGTGTTAGCTACAATATACATCATCTTATTTGTTTATGGATGAACTTTGAATCTTCTATTTGATGTTTAGTTAATCCTAATATCAACTAGGTGAAGAGGTTATTTTGAGGCATTTTTATATGTATCTGGCATTGTTTCTAAGTATGTATGTTTTTATTGCTTTATTATTATATTTTTTATAATATATAAAACTTGCCCTAGGACCACAAGATAGTTTAATAGCTTCCTACAAGAAATATCTCAAAATAGATGTACCATTGTAAAGGTTTTTCATCTTTTCTAAAGACCCTAAATTGAAAAGCTCTTGAATCTATAGACTAGAATTGTTTTGAAATTACCTTTCTGAATTTATGGTGGTGATTTTTTTTAATAATGATTTTTTTTCATTTAAGAAGACCTGGTGTATATTGTTATAGCATTCTTAAAATATATATTTTGTAGTATTGAGCTAAGCTAGAATAATGCTTTTTTGAGTCATACTGTTAGTATGAACAGTTAGAATTTATTTACTAAGGGGTAGAGCTAATACACATTGTTATTTAGCTTGCATTTTTCCCTTTTCTGCAATAGGGTATCATTTATTATGTTACAACCTCTTCTAAGTTAGAGGAGTGGCTTGCTAATGAGACAATGCAGGAAGGACTACGTCTGTGTGCAGATCGAAATTATGTTGATGTGGACCCAACATTTAATCCAAACATTGACGAAGACTATGACCATCGACTAGCAGGCATATCCAGGGAGAGTTTCTGTGTGATTTACCTCAACTGGATAGAGTATTGTTCTTCTCGAAGAGCAAAGGTAGAATTTATTTTGTATGTATCTGTTTTGAATTTGTTTTTCCAAAGATGGAAAGAATATTTCTATTTGTTATTATAAAGTCAATTTTTCCATGTTTTCCTATCTGATCTTATAAGTAAGAGAGCCTGGTGGTTCACTGTGGTTGGGCCAGCTGAAAGCCTCCCTCATCCTTTCATCTGCATTGTCATGATCTTATCGTCCAAGCAGCACTCCTTGTGTTGGAGACCCTAAACATGAAATAAATTAAAGTACAGATTTTGACCTGCAGAATGAGGGGTCAACTCTTTTAACTTTGGCAGGTGGCTCTCAGCATCTGTGCTCCCAATTTGGGGAAGTAAAATCCCAAGGTCATTTTGATTGAATGCAGTTTCAGTGCACTCATACAAAACAGTCATAAGACTTATTACTGACAGGTACCATAGGTTGGGGGGGAGGTACAGTGAGCCAGGGGAAGGGCAGTCTTCCCTCTGTCCAAGGTCATGAGAAAGCAGGGTATGGAGAACAAGGTAGTTAGTAATAACTTGGCAATCAGGGGCACTGAAGCTGGCCAAGGACATCACCCAGATAGTTTGCCCATCACTATTTGAGTTCTTCACCTACAGGCACAATTGCAAGACTACTCAGGTTCAGAGAATAATAATGGGATTTATTTAACAAACAAGGGAAAACAGAGTCACTGAGGCCATTGTGGTCTGTAGACAAAAAGCATCTAAGATGGTGTCTTAACCACCACTGAAGATATAGAGCTCCTATCCTGAATACAAGGTCAGGCTCCCAAGATGGCACCTTCCCACCACTGAGGGACTAGAACACATGGCAGCCAGATAATAGGCCGGGATCCAACTCATGAAGACCACAGAAGACACAGCAGGAGATGCTCACTGGAGCTGTGGAGATGCCTCAGCATAGTACCAGACAGGCAACCTTGGAAACAGCAGCTGCAGCAGCAACAAATGGCTCACACACAGCTCAGTGAGGCACCCGGCTCCAGTCTTCACCTTCTCTTTGGGCTGTCACAGTAGCACAGCTGGGCTTTGCTTGGCTACCTGCAAAGTCTCTGAACTTTCTCCACTGAGGTTGGCTGCTGGATGCTTTTCTATGTCCTTCAGAGACCCACAACAGCCTTCTGAAAGATCTGTGTGTGGGCGGGGCCGGAACTGCTGAATCCTAAAAGCACTGAGATCCCCAAACCACTGAATCTCCAGGGCTGCTTCTGCAGCCCTTCTATTTCCTATCAAAGTCTCCACCTCTACCCATACTTTGTCCATATTTCTCCTGGGGCTAACTCACCCTTGCCTGCATCACTGTCCAGGGGTGCCACCTGTAACAGCCTTTGGCTTTAGTCCCTGGTTATACCAGTACCTGTTATTTACAGAGTTGAGGTGGAGGTCACGAGCTTTTCTCTGGCTTAACTCTAGTTATTTTAAAAGGTGTTTAAAGAAAAATAAAGCTGGAACTTGTAGCAGGAATTCTAAGCTTTAGTTCTTATCCAAATGTCCAGTCTGTAGGTATGAGCAGGATTATCATACTTTAAAATACTTAAGCAGCAACTAAAAATAGCTGTTCTCTCATCACATCCCTTTACTCTGCTTCTCTTGGATATACACAAACTTCAAAATTAGATGTGGAGGTTCTTTCCCTCCTCTTCCTACCAGACTTAAGGGTAATTAGTATCTTTTTCCTGAATCTAAGGTTCAGACTAATGCTGTCTAATAAAATCTGCAGTGATGGAAATGTTCTCTGTATTCTTTTAGTATGGTCATTGTTATCAAACACTTGAAATGTAATCAGGTCGGCTAAAAAACTGAATTTTAAGTTCTTTTTTAAATGTAGTAGCCCATTTGGGCAAGTGGCTACCCTATTAGACAGTGTTCATCAAGATTGTTGATTTTCAAATGTTAGTGTGGGTGAAAATGACAGGAATGTGTAAAAATGCAGCTCCCTGAGCCCTCCCTGGTGGCGCAATGGGTTAAAGCACTGCGCTAAGAAGCTTAAGCCACTTTCGCATGAGTTCGATCCCCGCCTGCCCCGGAGGAGATCCACATGGGGAGGCAGACCTCTCCTGACCCGCCTCTGCAACCCCCTCTATCTCTGGTGAATCCTCTCACCCTCCACATCTCTGGCCTGTACCTCTCAGTTCTGTATAAATAAATAAATCTTAAAAAAAAAAACGCAGCTCCCTGCCTCACCTGAGAGACTAAAATTCAATAGGTCTAAGCTAGGGACCTGAATCAGCCCTGTGTGATTATAACCCAGGTGGTTCCTAATCCATATTGTGGGATTACACCTTGCCCTAAAGGTAAGGTGAATTATATACTTAGTAACTAGCACTTTGCTTGTAGGTCTCATGGCAGTGTCACCCCGTGGTTACACTCCCTGTGACAGAATCATGGTATCAAGACCTGTGGTTCCAAAACCCAAAGCTACCACCACTGCTACTTTCCATGCCAAAGTCTTGTGTCGCCTTACCATGGTATCCTTAGGGTTCCCTCTGGGTTACTCTATCATGGGGCATAGTGAACCACTTTGGCAACCAGCACCTTTGTCATAGTCTGGGTTATGCAAACTGAGCGTCTTCAGATGTAACGGCTGAGTTAGCCCTTCCTTCATAGTTACTTGAGAGTAATGCACTTCATCATAGCTTCTTTTCTTTTTACTTTGTCAATTCTTGTATTTCCTATATGAATGGTGGCCTTTCGGTTGTTATAACAGATACACACCAGATACTGAGCATCAGAGTATAATTTTAAAAACAGAGTAATGTCAGAAAAGGACCAGAAGACACACCTAGAAGTGAAACACTTCAACGCTAAACTTCTGTTCTTCCCAGCATACAATAAGCAGTTTGTTTTTTCATAAATGAAATATATTAGAATGTTTTGCATAGTATTTTCAAATCCCTGGACTTACATGGGGAGAAGGGCAGGGTGGAAAGGGAGAAGTGGTTTATTCTGCAAACCTTTCTTTGGTTTAGACTGTATTGGTTACATTTGTTTTGGCCTAATCAGTTTAATCACGGTTTGGCCAGCAGCTCACTGTTTACCCACTCGTTACAGGGCTCCTTCTTCCAGAATTTAAGAAGTCATATAAAGATTATTCATGAGGTCAAGAACATAGCTCCAGGAGGTCTTCTTAATTGCTAATAAACCCTGTATTCAAGAAAAGTTTTTGCCAGTCTTGGGTAGCCCTAGTCTTTTCATATAATTTAGCTAGTCTGCTTTATATTCTGTTCTTGCAGTTCTCTCTTTAAGATTACCAGTTGTTACCATTTTTTCAATTGTTATAAGATTATCCATTAACCCCCATCTCATGCTTCAGTTTTTCTTTCAAATTAAACAAGGTTATCCCCACCTCCCAAAGCCATGCATTCTGTTTTCTGAATCATCACTCCCAGAATAGCCTCTTTCAAGGAAAGTTAAGCCAGAAAGATTTACTGACTCCAAGTTCTGGTAACAAAGTTGCCTTGGAATACTCTCATGGTTTTCTTCCAATATAGTGTTCATACTTGCATATTGCACAGAAATAAAAGTCATTCTTTCTGCTTCTCTTATTATATGTATACTAATCTTTTATATACTAACTATGCCTGTCTTGTAAATTTGGAATCCCATTGCTCTAAGTATGGTACTAGACATACTGCATTAAAATAACCTAGAATGCCAAATTTTAGTACTCTTTTTGCTTGGCTTTGCTCCTGGCCTCCTTAAGTGACAGTACATTCCTTTTATTATTGTTGTTCTGTATTTTGAATGCATTAGAGGGTGTAGGGCTCTGGCTTCTTCAGCAGTGATAAAACAAGAGTGACTGGCTGTGTGCCAGTGATTGTTCCCTTTCAGTGCAGCGACTGGCTGCTGGCTGCTGTCTCGCGTTGCTTCTGATGAGAGCTCTGCTGTCTTTACTGTCTTTACTCCTGTACAAATAACATAGATAACAAAGTAACTTCCCTTTTTCATTGACTTAAGATTTTTCTCTTAAAACTTACTAGTTTTAATTATGATGTCCCTTGGCACAGTTTTTCTTCATGTTTCTTGTTCTTGGGGTTCATTGAGAGGCTTGAAGCCATGCGTATATGGTCTTTATTCAATTTGGAAAGTTTCAGTCATTATTTTTCTAAAGTTTTTTGTTGTTGTTGTTCCTCTTTTGGGGACTCCCATTATATTGATATTAGGCTACCTGCTATCTACAGTTCAGTGATACTTATTTTTGTTTGTTTTTGTGGTCATTTTTATCTCTGTAATTTTGCTGGATTTGGGAGATCATTTATTTTTTATTTTGTTATTTATTATGCCATAAATTTTGCCCCATCTATTATTTTGTTTAGTCATAGACATGGCATTTTTGTGTCTCTTGAGACTAAATGTGTCTTTTATATAAATCTTTCATGTCTCCACTTACCATGCTCATTTAAATTTATAGAATATAGTTATAATATTGTAGACTATCCACTTTTAATATTTCAAAGAACCTCTTTATGCACATTCATGCTCTGTGTTTTCATTGTAAAGTTTCATGAGTACTTTTCTTTGAAGCTAGAAAGTTTGTGCTACTTGAGTTTTCTATCCTCTGGTTTATTGAATAAGTATCTTCTGATTAGTTAAATGCTTAAGTACCTTTCTAATAACTGATTGTTTTAAAGCCATTGGATGTGGACAAAGATTCATCCCTGGTGACTCTTTGCTATGGACTCTGTGTTCTGGGCCGGAGAGCTTTGGGCACTGCATCTCATCATATGTCCAGGTAAAGAAGACATTTCTGTTTTCATAAAGTGACTGTGTGAGGCTATGTAACCTAAATCTGAAAAATAAGAAATAGTTTTTTGTAGAAGCATTCTGTGCAGAGTTCATTGTAAAGGTCTTTTGTGTAGATCTTTTGGCTGAACATAATTGAGTTCTACTAAATGGTTAACAGCTGACTTATAGAACATACCCATGTGAGTAACTTTATAATCATAATTCCAGTGGATTTAAGATTAAAAAAAAAATCACCCTGTAATATCTGATTGATCCCCCATATAAAACTTTTTTCTACCAATTCACCTTTTTTAATTTTTCTATATTTCCTCTCACTTTTGGTTTTAGACCATTTGTATTTTTAATATAATTGTACGTTAAGTTTGGGGTCTCTAAATATAAGATGAATTTTTTTGACATATGTATCCAGGTGAATTAGAATTAAGAGAATGCATTTTAATTTTCTGCTGTGATTGCTATATGTTTTCCATTAGGCCCTCAATTCCTTTTAACTTACAAACTATTTGTATGCATTATTTTCATGGGCTCACTACCACAATAGCTCATAAATAATGGTCCCATGTCAAGCCGACCCAGTGATTTCTGATAAAGCTCTTAGAATCTCTATTTTCAAAACTCTCCTAGATATTTCTGACTTAGAACCAAATGTTAGAATCATTATAATGGAAGACCTTTGTCTACATGTGTAAACTTTTATCTCCAATCTTAACAGTAATTTAGAGTCATTCCTCTATGGATTGCATGCCCTGTTTAAGGGAGATTTCCGTATTTCTTCAATTCGAGATGAATGGATATTTGCCGACATGGAATTGTTAAGAAAAGTAGTAGTGCCTGGAATCCGTATGTCCATTAAACTTCATCAGGTAAGAAGAGGAAATCTTTAATGTATTACTGTGTTTAATTACTGGTGTTTAATGGAGTACTTCTTCACTTGATTTCCAAATTATGATTCTTGGGAACCTTTTGAGAAATATTCTAATCTGAAATATGAAAAACATGATTCATAGCAAGATATTAAGTCTTAGAAGCCTGAACCTATGTTCCTAACAGTAAACTTGATAATTAATATTAGAGAGTGACTGGTCTGGACATGAACTTGAGGAAAAATTGAAGCATTGACAAACTGGAAATAAGGGCTTGTTTTGACTTCATGTGATTATAATTCACACATCTTCTGTAGGCGAATGTTATCCAACTCCTGGCTCAGTGTAGTAACATCTCAGGAGTGGTACAAATGCTGCTCTCCCTGAACTATGAGTTTCATTTAGCCAGTTAAGTAGAATAATAGATGATTAGGACAGATTTAGCCGTAGTTAAATAACCCTAGGAGGGTAATAATTTTAATATGAGCCAAAAATACATATGGGTCATTTCAGTAATATATTATGAAATGAAATTTTGTCACTTTCTACTCTGACTAAACTAATAGTTAACAGACCTAATGATAGAGACCATATGATAAAATTCATTAAAATGCATCAGTGGTGCTCAAATCTGATTGACTCTTTTTTCCCACAAATAAAGCATGAATTACTCTTTAAGTGATTTTATTAAGACATAAAGAGCTTGGATGAAGTTAAAAGCCCATTTTACTTAGATGCATTACTAATAAAGGCTATATTTAAAGTTTCCTGTAGAAATGGAACTTTTTTTTTTAGGATAATGGGTAAGACAAATTTGAGATCAAGTTGAATTATCCATCTTTAGGCTAACTGTATAATTTTGAGACAAATCTAATGTATTTAAAAGTGAAAGGGCCCTCCCTGGTGGTGCAGCAGGTTAAAGCACTGCCCATTTGCCCATTTGGGCAAGTGGCTACCCTATTGGACAGTGTTCATCAAGACTGTTGATTTTAAAATGTTAGTGTGGGTGAAAATGACAGGAATGTGTAAAAATGCAGCTCCCTGGGCCCTCCCTGGTGGCGCAGTGGGTTAAAGCACTGCACTAAGAAGCTTAAGCTACTTCCACATGAGTTCGATCCCCGCCTGCCCCGGAGGAGATCCACATGGGGAGGCAGACCTCTCCTGACCCGCCTGCTGCAACCCCCTCTACTTCTGGTGAATCCTCTCACCCTCCACATCTCTGGCCTGTACCCCAGTTCTGTATGAATAAGTAAATAAATCTTTAGAAAAAAAAAGTGAAAGAGTGACTTCAGATTAAATTGTGTGTAAAACCAGAATTTCTCAAAAGATATGTCAGTGATATATCTGCTGTGAAAGAAATGCTCTCTTTTGTATATCATAATTACATAACAACCCCTGACAGACATCTTCAGTTCATTCTAAACATTATGACAGATAATTTCTCTCCATCAGTCAGAGAAGAAAACTGAGTTAAGAGTTCAAAGCCTAGGCACGGCACCTTTGGTGTGTGCCCCAGTCTCTCCTACAGCTGCTCTTGCCTACTGCCACCAGGTCTCTTTCCTCATGTGTCCCTGAGGCATAATTCCTTAGAATTACTTACTGCCTGCCACAGTGGCTCTCTGCTAGCACACCCTCCTCACTCCCACTGACAGCAGTGACAAACAGTGGATGTAAGGTGGGGTTAGTAACCCGAGGCACTCAATAAATGAGCCAGATATTAGGTTGAAACAAATATTAGGTAGCCTGTCAGGGACTCAGCCTAAGATAGAGGTATAAATGTATACTGGTGAGCAAACAATTTCATATGTCATATAATCATGAAAATCCACGGAAGTAGACAGTATATTCAAAGAAAGGATATTTATAAACTTGTCATATGATCCAGCATTTCTACTTCTAGATATGTACCCAAGAGAGTGAAAGAATAAGTCCACACAAGGTTTAAGTCAGAATAGCCAAAAACTGGAAGCAGCCCTAATCTCCTTCAACAGATGAACATACTAATTATGGTATATGCACATGATGAAATATTCCTTAGAATAAAAATAAATGAACTATTAATAGATACCACAGCATGAAACAGTCTCATATTATCCAGAGCAAGAGAGATTAGACACAAACAGTAAATAGTATATAATTTAATTTATACAAAATTTAGAACAGGCCAAATGAATCTACAACTACAGAAAGCAGATCTGTGGTTGCTTGGGATATACAAAAGAAATGCTAAAAGTCAGAAAGGAACATTCTGAAATGAAAATATCATTTTTCAATAGTCTTTTAAATAATAGATTATTGCAACATACATGGGAATTTATATTTATCAAAATGCATCTAACTGTATATTTGGCATGGGTGCAATATGTTGGTTTAATTATACCTCAAGCTTAAAAAAAAAATCTGTTTCTGGGGGCCCTCCCTGGTGGCGCAACAGGTTAAAGCACAGCACTAAGAAGCTAAAGCCACTTACGCATGAGTTCGATCCCCGCCCCGGAGGTGACCACATGG